AAAGAAAAAATGATTATTAGTATCGCGTGACTTAAGAGATGTCGAGAATAGCTTCTTATTCCACTTCTCTTTCTACAATATTAAGACAACGCTTATTATTATTATAATATTTCATCCGTGCATTTCTTATCGCTTTCAGACTAATATAGGATGTTTTACTTTCTTTTTCCAGACATGGTAATACATTGAACAAAACTTGAATAATGTAACACTTACAAAACGCATTTGTAATCGGAGTCTTTTTAAGTTTTAAACAGAATAACGCGACCAAATGTAAACTAATATCTTTTACGACGATCAGATAACTGATTTTTGTTTAAGAACAGTCTTCTTAGCACTTACCTTGCTCTTCTTTATTTCTACTTACCTCTTTAAAACACATTCTTTGGCAGACATAAAAAATCATGACTTTCCAATTAATTTAGCCCCCATAAAAACGAAAACATTACATTAAATTATTCTTTTAATAACGATTGGTATTGAATATTAATCTTCGTTGTAGCTTATCTTTTAGAAAAACGATTGAGTTCTTTCAATTAACTATGTGTCTATATTTCATACATGCCATACTTTAGTAAAATGTCTCGTTCCGGTGCCTTATTCAAAATTGATTTGAACCCTTTTAAAATCATAATCTTTAAACTTCTCATTTCCATGTACTAGTATTTCATAGTCACAAATATATTTTCAAAGTATTTTCTTCACCTTTTCGGGTTTTCGCATGTGCTTTCTATATCGTCTTGTGAATACCAGGATCAATTATGTATACAATCAATATTAAAATCCTGTATGACAATTGATTAAATAAATAAAATAAGTGAAATATATGTAGAATCGTGTTGATTGCTTTTGTGTTTGTTTGCTTCCTGCTTTCTTTTTTAAAAATTATTTTATTTCTCGGAATATCTCAGTCGGATGATCTAGGTGCTTATAGATATGACCATACAACGTATAAACTCGGCTAATGCCGACCGCATGCATGTCCTGTAACACCCGAATGTGATCCGGCTATTAAAACTTAAATATTTTAGATATGCAAATCTAAATATGCGAAATTTTCCCGATTGAGATGCTGAAATGTAATAGAAATTATGAAGCATTGTTATCCTGCAAATCGTAACCAAGTCGTAGCAAAGTCAAAAGGCAGCTCTCAATATGTAGCTGATTGGGTCGATTCTCGGACTGGAAGGAAAACAAATTATTCTCGCTCTCGATTTCCATTTTGTAAATCCCCGTTCGGACCCTAAATGAAACCCTTTTAAAACAAAAAATCTTCATAGTCCGATTTTAATTTTGGTTAAAGTCAGGTTGTATTGTTAGTTACTATGCAGCCTTAAAACAAAGTTTGAAAAAAATGGAAAATCTGAACAGGTTCTTTTAAAGCTTATCTGCCATAGTTTACAGGAGGGATTAGACCGCCCTGCAAGGTCACTGGACAGGTGGTTATCTCATCAACTCAGCTCTCAGTTAACATAAGAAAAAGAGGATCATGAGGGACCAATGGTCACCGATTAGGCATTGTTTGTTATATAGAGGGCGCAAGTAGCTACAAGTAGTGCAGTGGGCCTTTAAAATGTCATGAGATAAATAATGGCGGGATATAAATCAACCCAACATTAATAAATGCCATGCAATATATAATTTTTTATTTCACGAATGCATTCAGAATTTTCGCTTTCATTTATTGAGTACAAATATCAATCAATATCAATTAATAATCCAAATATGTATGTGTGTACATATAGAGACATAATGGGTAATTCCATAAATAATTAGGGACCCACTTTGTGACATTTTTGGTGTCCCACTTACATGATGAACCCATACGTATTTGTGGATCTGAGTAAAGATTTAAATAGTAGAGTGAGATTGTAAAGTGAGTTCCAAGCATTATATTGCATCATCATACCTAAAATCACTTTTTGTTGTTGTTGTTGTTGTTTAGATACCTAGAATTACTTAACAATCATACTCCACTGTTCAAGTCTTTACTCAGAGCCACAAATACGTGTGGGTTCCTTATGCAAGTGGGACACCAAAAATGTCACAAAGTTGGTCCCTAGTTTTTGGAATTACCCATATTCAATCTCATTAATTTAGTAATTTATGCTTAGTCTTTGTGTTACCGTTGTTGAAAATATTTGACAAAGGAAGTGATGTTTATTTTTAAATAAATTAGTAGACTTTTTCTACATTTCCCTTCTCGCGCTTGAAATATGACTACCAGTGTAACTACTTCTTTAGCTTAGGTCATAGTGTAATACATGTAGATGGAAACTAGAGAGAAAGAAAGAGGGAGAGAGAAAGAGAGAGGAAGGTGGAGGGAGGGAGGGAAAGATAAAAAGAAAGATAAAGAAAGAGAGAGCGAGAGAGAGAGAGAGAGAGAGAGAGAGATAAAAAGAGAGAGATGGGGGGGGGGGCATTATTAGTTAGGAAGAAGGAATAGAGAAGTACACACATAACACATGTGGTAAAAGGACAGAAAGATTGAGAAAGATTTTTGATGGAGAGACGGATATACATAATAATAAACGGATGTGGCAAATTTAATTTCAAATGTATGATGTAGTTAAAATATACATATAGATCAAGAATTACTAAGAGGTATATGATTATAATAAAGACATTGGTCTGAAAAAAAGGGAGATACTAGCGATTAAAAGAAGTTGTTATAAGATTTTCTTTTATACCGAAAGTTTTAACAACACCAACAAACGCCCCCTACAAAAAAAGCATTGATAACTACTGCGACAAAAATTATGACAACGATGATGTCAATGGGAGTGATAAATTTTGAGTGTACATTTGATGTATTCGATGGGTAGTTTTGTGGTGCGCCGCCAGTTTGTTAACTTGTAAACTAGCAATCAGATTTTTTTTAAGGGTTACTCTCCCAAGTTGTATTAAACCTTGCTAATCGATAAGGATGGGAGTTAAATCGTTTCGGGGTTCTATAGACAAAATTGTTTGATGAACGGAAACTTTATCGAATACACCAACAAAAAGGCAACAAAGATAACGGTAAAGAACAAGGCAGCAAAATACTGTATTGTATGAGACAACAGAGGGCAACCTTCACTGTAAGTTAGCAACGAAATTTACGAAAGAGCAGGAAAAAAAAGAACATTTTGTTTTGATTACGTATATTTGAATTTGTATCAATAAAAATGGACTTTAGTTCTTTCTAACACTTTCTAACACTTTTTTTCTTCAAAGACAAGATTGCATCACATATGAAAAGGGGAAAGAGATGAATAAAGAGAGAATGGACTGGGGGAAAGTAATATATATAATACGACTCACTTTCGGAAAATATCGCAATTATAACATGAAGGAAATTCAAATACTTATGACAAATTGAGAATCATTGTTCTTTCATCGTAACTTTTACAGTAGTAGTAACAAAGAAAATATACAGACTGAGATATTACGTTTTTAAAAGGGAGGGGGGGGGGTAACGAAGAAGAAACCACCATAGAATCAAATTGAATAGCAGGATGGAGAGTTATCAAAATTACAAAGAAAATTAATTAATGAAGAAATGCAATTTATCTCCAACGTATGAGTATTATACCGTTAAGAATCTTGATGTTAAATACTATTCGCATTTAGTAAAAGCAAATCGCAAAACACAAGCAGTCAATTTGAATTGTTGTTGTCTAATTTTGGACGATGATGACGCACTGCTGATAGACAGGGAGTTATGATTGAGGGGAAAAGAACAAAAATGGCAGACAAATGTGTAAAAGCCATTCGTATTTTAAATAAAAACGGATTCGATCGTTCAGGAAATCGATATTTTGTCCAGTTCTTTCTAACAGTCTACCATCCAACCGATAATTTAAAAAGTATTTCGATTATTTTGTTGATTGTGGTGTAGTTTACAAATCATACACGCAAAATGAATATACGTGTTCTGGTTGGCGGACGGTTTAGACCGGTGTACATACTTCTTTTCATTAGTTACCTTCACCGAATATTCCTTAGATTAATGTTATCATGCATATCTTGTACAACTTTTCGTTTACTCCAACACGTCATCGCACGCGCCCGCTACGGGGTGTAACTTCAAGTTTTCTGGATGAAAGCTATATGCAGTCATCCGTACATGTTCATTTGTTGTTCCCCTCGAGCTGTTATTCAACTGCTCCACCACCAATCGAAGAAATATCGAACTACACTAAACGTCTGAATAACAAAGTCCTCCTTGGTCTATCAAAATATAGATCCAAGACCATCCTTAGACTAGTCCAAACACCAACTTCAATGGTGGTACCAAACTCTTCCGATCGATAAAGTGCCGTTGGACTTTCATGATAGACAAGGGAACAATAAGGCTAATTAATTTGAATATGACCGTTTGATTATTGGTGACTGAGCTATTATTTACAAACGATTAAAAGTTCTTTTCTGGTTTGGTTGATATTCTTCTGGCTCTAATAAGATATATATCACACCCACGGGTACATTGTCATGTCCACCTACACAACTCCACTACTATTCCCATATTATCATCATCATCATCATCATTATCATTATTACCTACACCACCACCATTATCATTCCATTATCATCATCACCATCATCATCATTATCATCATCATCATCCCATTATCGTTGACATCCCCATTTTCCTTGTTGTTTTAATGGTGTATACTCCCATGAACTTTTGAAGTCTAAATGAATTGGTAAGATAAAGAAGTCCATGGAAATCATATATTTATTTTATCACGGATAATAAGCCAAATATCCGCAAGAAGAAACTCATATAAAACTATAAAGAACGCCCCTCCATACCCCCCGCGTCTGAAAATGGGATCGCCCACCGCTGTGGTGTACCCGCATAACGTTGCTATGGAGAGGTCATGCCATGTAAAAGAAGAGGGCAGATCGTTTAGTCAATAGAGATATTTCTAGTACTATTGATCCGGTCTATTCACTATTGTTAGCCCAAACAATTTTGTTTGTTGTCAAAGAATGAGAAGCACGGAAAGAGCGGAGTAAATCCTCAACACGAAGACCCGAATTAGAGAGCTCACACATTGTTGAGAGGTAGTTGTAAGGTTTTAATTTACAAACGAATAGTATTCTGGTTCAGTGGAGTTTCGTGTATAAAACTCAAGGAACTAGGCTTTACCGAGTAAGCTGTTGCCTGGTACATGGAAATAATTCATTCCTCGCCGAGGAACCCTCGGGAGCAGATTTTGGGGTGAGAAAGTGAACTTTTGCTCCTTATTTGGTATTATGGTACACATACCAAAGTTGAACTGAATAGACCCCTTCAGAGCTTCAACTGTGGATTTTTAGTATAACGTGTTGTGCCAAACTTAGTTATATTCGACCGTCGACAAGTAGCTGCTAAAAGGAGGTTAGTGTTATTATCTTTCTTTTTTCAACGTGTCATATAATTTCAAGATAAGAACATACTTCAAACTTTCCGTTGGAAATTGAATAGTATAATGCAGATCGAGATATCGAAGTAAATGTTTGAGAAAGTGGAAAAGCATGTCATAAATCTACGTAATAATTTGGCTGAATGCTTATAGATTCACTTAACTGATCTATTATAATTGTATTGCATTTCATACTATTTCGCTGCTATAAGAGAATAGAAACATACGTATAGGGACATAATTATGGAGAATTATATTTTATATTGTAAAATTTAGATTTTGAAATACCTCATCATTACAGCGATGATAAGTATTAATCATTGAATTAAAATCATTAAGCATTTCTCGTGGGGGGAGAGGTGAAGCCATAACGAAATTAAACAGATTAAACTGTGTAAAATATTTCTACAAAATATTCTAAAATACCTAGTACAGGGCACGTTGTCCCATGGTCTGTTCTGCTCTGTTTGGTTATATGCTTGGCATCTATTTGATAAGCGGCCATAAAAATGAATGTTCAGCGTGTTACAGATTATTGACAAATGTATCTTGGACTATAATAAGTTCCTATACATAGACTTTGGTCACTTCGAATTTAACCTTGGTAAACTTTGGATAATTGCCTTTTAAATAGGTTTGAAGTACAGCATATACCTGTACATTGTAAAGACGTGCCTATCACACCATTTTTTAATAAATTCTTTTTATCAAAGAAAAAACCTATGATGGTTAGATAGTAGTAATAATTATAAGTATGTCAAAGTAATTTATTTATTGTTTTCAATGTTATGATAATACTTCAATGTCAGTCAACATGCCAATCCTAATCTTATGGAAACTACATTGGTGTTTACATACTGTATTTAGTGATTTCGCATGTATGGATATATGTAATAATAATCAAAACAAACTCTTAGAATTATTGTTTCCATCGGCCAATAAAAATGACATAGATGGTGTACAATAATATGTAAACAGTTTTCCCGTCTATCAAAATCATTCATGGAACTATTGCTACAGGTCTTTGCATTCATTTCAAGATAAGTCCATATCTAATGTCCAGACGTAATGAACCACGTTCTCAAACTTGAACTATTATAATTCATCGCAACATAAATGGCACAAGACAGTGAAGCATGGATATTTCGATTCTCTCCATATACAGGAAAACCAATATTATTTCACTTTTCGTTCGACATTCATTTCTGAGCCTTTCACGATGACGTGAGCTTAGAAACATTTATGATGGGAGATAGTACTGAAGGTGAGAAGAAAGACATCTCGAAGGAGGATGCTCGAGATAATGACCCCCTCAAAGAGACAGAACATGATGAAGGGAAGGAGAACTCAAACGAAAGGGAACTAGAGAAGGTGGTTGATGATGACGATATGAAGCGAGAAGGTGAAGATATCGGAGGAGGAAATGTCGGCGATTCAAACGCGAACGCCGATAGCAGAACCGAACCTACCGGGGAATATGAGAGAGACGATGATGTCAGTAATATGAAACGGGAAAATGATCGCTTGGTTGATGAGGACAGCAGAGATAATTGTGATCAGCAACACGAAGAATCAGTGGAAGCACTAAATAACCATGATAACGTAAATGAGGATGATTCGATAGACATCGTTAGTGAGGTTAACAAGGAGGCTCAGTTTGTAGGAGAAAATGGAAATGATGAAGAAAATGTCGGCCAAATGAAAGGAGATCAAGATGCAGAAATTCTGGATAATGATGATGATGATGATGATGTTGGAGATAGCATCAGTGTCAACGGATCTCCGAGAGATGCAGGGCGATATGAGAATGATGATAGTTATAAAAACACCGATCTGACAGCTACTGTAAAGACAGGCGATAAAAAAGTCGAATCAAAAGAGGGAAATCGGAGATCGAGTATGAAGTCTGCCAAAAGCACCAAGAAATCCAAGACTGTGCGCGTCAAATCCTCGAAAACGGTGTCCAGCATCGAAGTCGATATGACGCGTATAATCCGTAACGAAGACGACGACGATTTCGATGCTGATGAGGATGACGATGCAGTGACGCGTGTTACGTGTGGTAAGAGTGTGGACTTCTCTATACCTGTGGATGAGCTCGACGAGGAACTCCAGAGGGTGATTGACCGGCCAGGATCGGGGAGGACATCCATGATGGATAATGAAGATATGATTGGTCTCGGGAGGGCGGCTACCATGAACACACCCGTCACCATTGATGACAGAGAAAGGTAAGCATAGGTCGTCACACCTCTCTCATTAATTTTATGTGGTATATATTATATTCCTCAGAAATGCTTTCTAAGTAAAAGCTATACTTGATATAAAAAACTATATGTATGTGCTGATAGGCTATCCATTTTGTTAATATTTGTATGCGAGTATGATTGTTGAAAAATTCAGAACGTCGTTTGATGTGTGGAAATCGGTCCAGTTCATATCATTGAAAACTTCATGAAAACATAGCGTGAGTCAAGCCAACTTCCATCATTAGGAAGGGAGGAGGGGGGGGGGGGCAACGACTTCATTCGAAAAATATTGTGTTAATTTATAAGGCCTTTGGTTAGGGTGGGGAAGGGTGTGATCGTCTACACATTTTCTCGCCCATTTCCCGTTTCTCTCTTTTTATCTGCGTTCCATTTTTTCTTCATCATTTGATTTGAGGGGGCACGTGGCCCCTCCACCCCCCCCCCCCCATTGTTACGTCACTTAAAGGGACGCTGGAAATTGAACAAGGCGATAATTCATATCAATTGTGTAAAAGTCTCCTTGCTGTTTGTGCATGAACATCAGTCATGGCTATACTAGCATTATCTTTTTAATCAAAAATAATTCTATCATGTAAAATTCACCTTTCCCAACAGTTATGTCTACCCACAAAGTATTCGAACGCAATCACGTGATGGCATGTACCAGCATGCAGTCGATCTCATCCATAACCGATGTGGAAGTGTTAGCTTCAGTACCCGATCTCAACCACATGCTCGACGTCGAGAAACACGACCGCCGCCTAGGAGTGCGGCCAGTCTACCAGAGCATATTCCTACCACTTTGCTTGGAGGGGTAAGCAAGGAATAGCTTTTAAATAATAACCTCAATCACACCACTAAATCGGCAGCTTATCAACTGAATCTTGGCATTTCAGGGGTAATAATTATGTACCCGGTAAAATGTGAAAAGCATTTTAATTTGCTCAGCATTGTGATCATCTTTAAAATGGCGCCTGGCCAGAATGATCCCCAGGGAGTGGAGAGTGTGCATACATTGTGTCCGGGCAAGCCTGAATAGATCCGTAAAGCACTAAAAGACATTGCTGATGATTTAAGCGCTTTATAAACTGAGACTATTATTATGATATAATTTGTTGTTTGACCTGTTGTCGGTCTGGTGTACTTGGTAGGTGTGGTGTGTTTGGCTATAGTCGCATAGGGGATGGAGCTCAAGGATCAATATATTATATTCCACTTGATAAAAATACCAATCAATAGAATATATGGCACATGAAATTACAAAAAAAATGAATTTGAAATAAAACAAACACAGATTTTAATAAAAGACACTTTACTAATGTTACGTTTAGAACAAAAATTGTTCGCCAAAAATGTAATAGAACTGCTTGTCTTCTTGTGAAGAAAAAAAAAATCATTGACTGTAGCGTATAGATGATTGATTTTGAAGAAGCTTGTAATTATTCTAAGATAGATATATCAAACATGGTCGTCTCTGAATCAGATGATGTGTGGTTAATCTTCGTCTCGTTACATCATGTCAAAGCTAAGGTATCTATTTCATATTATATTACTTTTTCCTACTACAGGTTCCGATGTTCAACCTTCCTAACGTTGTAAAACACATCAACAAGACCCCTTTCAACGATCAACCAAATTCCTATTTCTACATCTCTCAAAGCAAACCTGTACCATTGAAACCGATGAAGGTAAATATATGGATGCTTCTACTTTTTTTTCATATTATGTATGCTTCACAACAAAAATAAATGATTAAGATTTAATTAAAAGACATTCGAATAATTTTCCACAATAGGGGCCTAAATGATTGTTATTTCTTTGTCAGTATATAGTTGCAATTATATACTTTTTTTTCTTGCAAATTATGTAGATTAGATCAGACATTAAATTATACCTAAGCGAGAATAAGGATCGTTCGTACATCATTCTAAGTGGATAGGGGTTCAGACCAAATTTTGCTTCTAGCTAACAAGTTTTAACATTTTGCCGAAATGGCTGTAGGAAAAAATGCTTCTCAAACTTTTGAGTTGTGACATTACACCCTCTCTCCATATATGATGTTACTGGAGAGAATTAGAACACGGGTGTGCCTCTTGAGTCAATTTTGGGCCTTGGCGAACAATCTCTAGACCTAGATGATCATTTCACATCATTTGACTCTCATGTTGGCTGTTTGACAGCTTATCACAATTTTGGGTTTCGGTACACGGGCTGACACAAAATCATATCAAACACGTCAGATTCTTGGTTCTGATAAACTGTTCAACCATATCGCAAAAAAAAAAAATATATATATATTCACAATATATTCATCTCAATCGTTTTCAGGTTTGGAAAGGTTACCGAGGCAACGTATACTTTGAGCCTATGGTGTGTCGGAGAGCTCCTTTTTCCAGTGCTTCATCGAATCCTAAACCAAATGAGAGAGTGGCCTCGTCTCATCTTCCAGTTATTCCAAAATCTGCAGAAATAACAACAAACGGTGCACCTGCAAATCCTGCCCATTTCAACTCACACTCTGCAACGACATCCCGTTCACAGCCCCCGAACGGTCGTCGTACCGCGGCGAGCGGGGCGAAAAGTGCTACGTCGACACGGAGTAGCGGACGACAGCTTGCAATCTTGGATAAGACCACGGTCTTGAGTCGTATGGATTATAATGCTGCCGAGGATATCAAATGGATAAGTGGTATCGAGTCGACAGGAACGTTGCAGATTGGACCGTCGGGCGATAAGTTGGCTGGACGAGCTTACAAAGTGTACAGGAACGGGCCCAAACATCCCAAGCTTAGGATTCGGCGCGGACTCGTCAGTCATAATTTGGCGGGAAACAATAAGAACTCTCCCAAGTTTGGTGTGAGCGGAGGTCGCATAAACGAAGACCTGACGACAAACCGCAATGCTAACCCAACAAACAGGACGCAAAAGAGGAATTCAGTACAAGAACATCATGGCGTCAGTCAGTCCTACCCTAGTGATAACTATTGTTGCGTGGATTCAATGACACCTTTGCAGCAAATTATGAAAAGAAACGATGGACATGGTCGATCTAAATTGGTGCATATTTTACCGTCTGCATACGGCGACGGTGGTATTGGATCTATTAGACCCAAAGGAAAGTAATCAATACATGTTAATGTTACATTTTGAGAATATTAACTACGCGATAAAAAAATGATATCTAAAAAGTGCTTTCAGCGTGTAATACCAGCCTTTTAATTATCCTGGACTAACGTCTATGAAATATCAATATTAGGTTAGCAGAGACTTCTAGAATATGTACTTTAGGACAATCTCATTACACCATTGTATTGCAGACAGAAATGTTCCGACATTTCAAATGGGGACGCACATGGCTACTGAAATAAGTTGATTTTTTTTCAAGTCTTTGAGATCACAAACTTCTATGTGAATGATTATGAAGGCAAGATTAATGCATGTTTGGAAAATTATACATGGGTTTATCTTGCAGTATAGCTATCAGTTTAGCATATTGATTGTCTTCCATATTTTGCCAGCTGTTTATCAATTATGAATGCTTCCAAATACATTAATCAAATGCTGGCATAATTGTGCAAATATCATATCGGCGTATTATTGTTTGCAAAGAAATTATATATGCAGAATTATATACAGAATTTTTATGATTGTCTTTTGGATTATGTTATGCAATTACTTTCAGCTGAAAAACGCGCTTTTTGTCATATTGATCATGTGCACGCTGGTAGTTACTCGCCACTCATGATCTTATGTGAGTTTGAGTGAATACCTTGAGGGGATTTTATCTTTTCTTTTATTCCCCTGAATAATAGTCTGAACCACGGCCCTGATTTTTTCTTTGTTTCCTTCAAGCTAGTTGTATCGATTGATGAATGCACCCGAACAATAAAAGCAATTAAGATTGCATGGACGTACTGATATGTAATCAATACAGTGAGGTCGTTTTTATAATTAAAATAGATTTAGTCGATGCGAAGTACCAATCTGGATGCATTGATGGGATTTAATGGCACAATTATGAAACCCCTTATTGCACTGAAAGATGCTATCAAGAAGAAAACGAATGCTAATACTATGTAAACTGAAGTAACCAGTACTGTTTCTTGAAAACTAAGGTACATGTATGTCAAAGTATAAAATTGTATTTTTCACATGGTGTTTGTCGCGGCTTACCTGAAATGTTTTCTTAGAAAAGAGTAATATATTTCTTCAGTTGCCATAATAATCTATATTAATCATTGGACACCTTGTGCTTGTTTTGTAAGGGTTCTAGTGCAATATTATATGAAATATGTTGTAAAGTTAGTAATCTTATATATTTTGTAGCCTCGCTTCGCATAGCAAAATTGATATTTACATCTGGCTGGTCAGTGGTGGAGGGGGTCGGAATCGTGCTCCACAAGGCAACTTGAAACGTGTAAAGCAAATCTATCCTGCTATGTAGTTTCAAATCCAGTGATATATGGCGTAGCCGGCGTATGCCCTTTCCGCCCGTTTTAGGCTCTCCCAAATGATTTAAACCTTTTGAAAAAATATTTTCCAATGGATAGCAATGAGGGATTATAGGGGTTAGAAGTAAGATTGAGACTATTGCATTACGTGATTAACTGAATATTAATCATTATCTATTGTAGTAGAAGGATCGGTCTTAAGCTCTTTACCAAGCTGACCACTACCAATGTCTTATAAACACTCCAAAAAGTGAATCTGCAATAAGAAGATATGGCAATTCCTTGGGCATGATGTACTTTTGTAAGGACTTTCTTTTCAACAAAATGAAAAGCAATTTTGTATCCATGGCTGTGTTTTGTGCATCATTATACCTTGACTTCAATGTAGATTTGATAATAAATTCTATTCAAAAAGTACTTTTTACTTGACAGATTCTCTGTTTCTGGTGTTCTTTCAAATATGTGTTTTATCTAATTTCTTTTATTTCTGCACTACTCCGTCTATCTCTCTACATATGTTATTATTACTCTAGATCAAGAAATTAATCTTCATCTCACTTTCATACTTGTCATATCGTTTAAAGCCTTCTTAAAATGGGTGTTTATGAGAAACGTACATTTCATATTAAGAATGTGTATGATCATGAAGTTTATCACAGAACTACAACAAATCCATTTTCTCCATACTTTACAAGAACAAAAAGACAAAAACAGTCATATTTTGCAATGTTTTTCTTTCTTTTTATTTCCAAACTAGAAGTCTACAACGATTACTTAACACATCAATCAATCAGATGGAATTAATCTCAGAAAGGCACTAGAAAACAATGAAAGAAAGAACATTACATCAATTAAGAATGAATCTCCACAGAAACAATCTCCACAGAAACATTATTTTCATCTCAATCAATCCAAGACGAGTTTTATATGAAACTTCGATCGTTTTGAATATTTCTCGTGAAAACTTTCTGGGTATGCAGTTTCTCAAAAACTAGCATCCCTTTATAACATTGTAAAGAGTTTAAACACTTAATAGGAAATGTGGAAAAAGATATATTGTTTCCTAGATAGCACATCAAAACGCAATATACTCTCAACACATTTACATTAAAATTATATATCTTCTGTCTGTCTGTACCACACTGTATCAAGCATGTCAGATTTTTTTCCATTTACAGTATTTGTCCACTTAAAGTACTGCTAGGTAATCTCTTCCACAAAAATAGAAATTTTCCAGTAAAGTTTCTTGAAAGGTCAGTCACAAATGAGGCTTAGAGGTACAAAATGCAACTTTGCTATCATCCAGTGTTTGTTTACATTAACTTTCCTATGTTGGAAAATAGATGCTGTGAATACATCTTTAGTCAAAAGTGTTGAATGTATGCTAGTTTTACAAACACAGGTCTCCCCCTTACAGGCCAACTCGACTCTTGAGAGATTGGTTTACACATTACTATATAAATTGTATCTCTCAATTCATTTCCTTGCCACTAAAGAACTTTAAATGGCTTTGTGTTGCTATGCGTCTCAGATTCAAACTTGAAAAGACCCTGTTTTACAACTGCCAGTCAAGTCTGGTATGTCAATATACAAAAAGCTTTCAAGTCACTGAATATGTTGCCCAACATGAAGTCGGTTTACTTGCGACATCATCGTGACATGTTCATGTCGGTCTTTAAAAATAATGCTGCTATCACATAAACAGGCAGTTCATGAAATACAGTGCATAAAGGCATCATTTTTAATTTTTGTATCTGAAAATGAGGAAAGAGTGAGAAGTTTACGACAGAAAGAAACACAAAAACATTATTCCCCCTACCGTATCAAGGTGCAATGAATCAATGCATGCCCGGTGCATGACGTATTTCAAGACATTTATTGCCATGGATTCTTTACATTCAATTTCTACAGAAACATATTCACTCTTCATACAAAATTAAATTTTGGATAGATTATAAACTATATACATATTACACAGCAAACTAATGAAATAAAGAAAACTCAAAATTTGGAAATACTACCACAAAAACATTGCAGCATGCATACCTTCAGAAGGTGACAGAAACAAAAGACAATCATTCTAGCATAACCAAAATTTACATCTTTTTTTCTTCATGTACATACCATTTTCTAATACATACAAATGACACAAATATCGTACAAGGCCAAATAAACATTAAACGGAAATATCTTTTATGAATGAATACGTACAATATCTTTGGACCTTCTTTTTCTCTTAAATTTTCATTAAATGGCACTCTTATCACTTGAACATTGAAATAACTAGTTAAACTGCTTTGAACAAGGATTTTATATCAAATTTTCTAAACCCAACAAATATACAAAATATTTTATGCACATTATGTTACAAAGCAAGCTACAAATACCAGTAATGGACGGAGAATTCCAGCAGTATTATTCAATATTCTTATTTCCCCTAAACAGAACAGGCATGTTCATAAATTCCAACTTATGTAGGAATGCGGTTGTTATGTACAATTATGTGTATTCAGTCCTCGCAATGAAAGGATCCAGTATAAAAACAAAATCATGACATTCAAAATTCACCAAACTCTCTGTGCTGCGCTGCAATTCATTACAACCTCTGTACATGACTAGTCAAGATATATATATAAATCAATCTATCTCTGGTCTACCAAGTAGCTGCTCTCCATTCTCAACAAATCAACGGTCAGGGAGTTGACAACTAGACATTACTTCAGGAATGTTGAAGTTAACATAATCTTCAAAAGTATTACTGTTAGCACTTTCCTTTTGCCACAATCATTTTGACACAATAAACATCTTCCTTTTCACCGTTTTGTTAGTCATATCTATACATTAATCATCATTTTTCTTGTATTTCAAACTAAATAGAAAGGATAAATTAACAAGGAAGAGTGAAGAGAATTAAGACGGAATATGTATAACACTTAACATTTTTACTAGATTTTTACCTTCTAGAAAATCGATTCAGAATAGTATTTCATATAATATTAGAAAAACTGTGTATTAAGTATATACTATACAGGAGAAAGCAATACATACTGTCACTAAATAATCTCTTAATCTCTCTTTTGGCATGAACAATAAATTCTTGAAAGAACACTTTATTTTGCATCACACACAGAAAAGACCTTATCTACCACAAGCCGTTACCACTGCTCAACAAATAGCTAACATCATATGTGACACGTTAAGACACACGTTTAACTCCGAAGACCTCCTTCATATTTCCAATTCATCTACACACACTGGAATGGTTTCATCATCATCATTTCTCTACCTGGTAACAGCATGGCCTGCAGCACAGCCTGCCTTGTCAAGGCATTTCATTTCTTCAGTTTCATCTCAAGTTCATTCTGATCCTATAAATGAAAACAAGAATACAGAGAAGAAATCAGATAAGAAACATGCGTTCAATGTCAAGATGTCCTATTCATGATTACAGAAGGATAGGTAATTGTTAGTAGACAGATGTATGATCATTCACGCAATTCAGTGTGAAGAAAGGGGATTTCGCTAATACTGCAACCTTGTTTCCTCACTCCATTTATTTTGACATTGTGCTGTTTCATATTAAGTTACATAGTCAAGACCCTGTTATATAAAACAATATGCGGACAGGATCAACTTTTATTAATAATATTAATGTTTAAAAGTTGCATACATCTATTAGGCACAAAAACTATTCAAATATATTCTACTGTGCTGCAAGAGATCCTCATGTGTTGAAAACTACAACATTAAGTTAAATGAAAAGATGTACTCTTAATTTTTACTTATAAGTACTTCACAGGGTTCATGAAACAGGGCTCATGAAAGCAAGAGGAAGAGGGTAAAAAAAAAAATCTTCTTGTCTTACCTATCTCTCCAGGGGTGCCTCCAATGATACCGTTCTCCACCGGGGCTCCTTCAGGAGCGCTCAAGGCCATAGGGTCTCCAGCCAGCTGAGCTTCTCCTTCTACCATAGTCTCCAGGACTGCCTGCACTCCATCTGTATTGGTCTGCTCCTTCATCATCTGGTTGTCAAGAGAATTCTGTGAAGATATGGAGAGATAAAAATAACATGCTACACTGCAGGTTGGGATAAAATCAGTTGTCATATAGTAAAAGATGGTGATGTGAAGTTCAGAATTCAGCTCAATGTTTGAAGATTTCACTGCAGCGAAAGGGAAATCGGCCATTTCGTCACTGTTTTCAAAAACTGAAATACATGCGAATGTCTGAGCACAGTACATACAGTGGATGGCAACACCAGCAACGATTTGTTTAAAACCCAAATTATAAGAGGAACTTTACAATAAATATTTCTCACAAAGAAATAAAGATCATTGGCATTTGCTGATTTTAAATTTGCTGAAGTCATTTAATAACATTTGGAAATCTGCATGGCTATTGATTATCTGAACAAGAATACACACCTGGGTAATGACGGTCAGTTTTGGAGGCAGGTCGTCCACAGTGAGTTCCTCATTGTTGTTCTCACCCACCGTGGCCTGTGGGGTAGTAGCCTCCGGAGTCTCACTGGCCTCTGGAGTCTCCTGGAACTCTGGAACCTCCTGGGACTCTGGAGTCTCATTAGTCTCATTGGACTCTGGGGCTGGGACTGGAGCAGGAGCTGGAGCTGGATCCTTCTCCAGACTCTCCTGTCTAGAGATGTTCTCCTTCTGACTTGCATCCGATTCCACTCGGATCTCTGAGCTCATCGTTGTATCATCCTGGAGTGGGAGAGGAATGAATGAATGAATGGCAAGGAACCCCAAAACGTGATAAGACTTGATGAGAAGAAGAGCACACAATCAAAGGAAAATTGGATGAACTAATTGCCCTTGGTGCTCTCATATGATGATAATAAACTATAACAGATGATGTCATAAGTAGTCAATCAAAGCAATATAGTTTAGTTTAATTAGTCTTAATTCACTTACTCTACCACATCTAACATAAAGATTGTATTTTTAGTTACCAGGAATCTGAAAGTTTGACAGATTAACAGAGATATGTGGACACAGGAGAATCAAAACGACTCAGTGATGAGAAATCAAAGAAAAACAAAATAAACTCACCACACTATCAATTTCTCCATCAGCATTAGCAGCTCCAATGCTTGTGATCGTCTCTTCTACAGCTTCTCCCAGACTGTCAGGGTCATCTTCCTCTTCACCACTACCAATGCTGAGAGTGAGAGAAAAATATAAAAAATGCCATGTTACTTGACAACTCAAGCATGATGCTTCATGCTGGTTATCTATTGTCCTGAATTTGTGTTTATAAAACAACATTAGACCTTCTGTTAGTTGTGCTTAATCATTTTTTAAACCTTGTTTATTTACCGTTAATGTCTAGAATTTGCGTAAATTCATTAGTAAATGTTAATCTGTATATGTTACACCAGTGAAAATCAAATATCAAGAAATGGACAATAAATACTAAATACAAATAAATACATACAAATATTTCATTCTCCAAGGGAAATGACAGCACCAGTTGCATTCAAGGATAGGCACAAATAAATGATCAACCCTATAACTGTGTAATTGAGCCGACATTGACAAATTAAATTGGTTACATTGTTTCTTTAGTAGAATTTATGACTAAATGTTATAGAATTCCTGCAGTAGAGGTACTAAGATGATTTGTAATGCTAGACAAATACAACTAAAACTAATCACTGAATGCTTCCATTTCATATTTTAGCTACTGAGGCAAGTTTTATTGTGTCTCCAACCTCCAAAATATTGAGATATTGGTCATGGACAATGAAAAGCCATTTTTAGAAAATAAATTAACCATTTAATGACTTACTATGTGACTCCTTTTGATTCACTCATGGACAGCTCAATCTGTAAATGATCCACACCCTGTGGCTCACTGTCTCTGTTTAAAATGAAAGGAAATAAAATAACAAACATTATTCACTAGCTTTCTGTAAATCTGCATAAAGCATGACTAGTAGTATGTACATGCCATGCTTGCATAACTTCAATACAAATTAATTTCAAGTCATTTAAAAAGAATGTTTAATTCTACCTTGTTAATATCACTATGATACTTATTCTCCTTTGACAATATTTTATTTACTAGTATTACATCTTTACTTTCAACATTTCCTTTTAAATGGGTTGACATTATAGAATAAAACAGCTAATGTCTTTGTTATTAAAACACTCAATTCATTTATTCCTTGTATTACAAGAAAGGAATAATAACAAAGATCACAAAAAGTACTCACTCTTCTCTATCACTGATGTCCACTTGTGTAGAAAACATATCATCTCTCGTCTGAAAACACAAACAAATCAAGTAGATAAAGGTAATAATATAATAATCTTGTATATCAGTCATACATAATGCTACAAGCTCTTTAAAATCAAACATGACTGTTGGTAGGGCACACAACTGAAAGAAGTACAAGTATGGCACAGCCTCCTGGGTATGGTATGTAATGACTCTTGTGGTTAATGATCTTATCAATTTGTTATACTTGGGTTACTGTAGGATCATTGTGCGGTTGTGAAATGGTTGAGCCCAGAACACTGTGCTAACAGTTACAAGTGTGATCAGATGATTGATATTATTATATTATGTTCACCTTGTAGAAAGTGAGAAGAGAACACCTATGTCATACTTAACAAAAACAAAATCATGTAGAATAGAAGGAGATAATGTAGGGGAAAATACCTCAGAAATGCAAGGCAGTCAAAAGGTAAATAAGAAGAAATTGATTTACAAGACAAGAGTAGGCAAACATGTGAAAGAGATAATAATGTGATTTCAAACAAAAGTACAGGGATACAACATTACGCAAAAAGTATTGATTATTTATTCATTCGGTCTCATTTCAACAGGGTGGATTCATCAGTGAAATTGCCACTATTTTACAAGAGGGCCCTGTAAATCAAATGTGCACTTACATTTCCTAGTTCTTCCTCTTCAAATCTAGAAGCTACTGCCATAGCACTCTCTAGTTCATCTTCCATCATAGCTCCTCCACCACCAGACCCGTCACCACCCTGCTGCTGCTGCTGCCTGCCAGCTGGATGACTCTGCTGCTGGACAGTATCTTCTTCATCGGATGAAGACTCATCATCAGAACTGCTTTCTCCTGAGATGAATTCAATAGATAGAGTGGCATTGATTTAGAATTGCAACAACAGAATAACAGCATGCCTAATATCCAGCTGATGAGCATATACATTCATTATGGAAGTTTTTAACCAAAACATTACTTCAGTTTCACAATCATCACCCCCTGTGTATTTGTAATCTGAACTTGAAACTCTCCAGAAGATATTTTTCAATATTTTGGAATATTCTTTGCTTCCGGAGCTCACACTTTTAGACGAAGCATTAAATTGTACTCTTTGAAATAAACATCAAAACAAAATGCAATCCTTGAACAAAATTACTCTAAGCACATCAGGAAAATAGAATATCAAAATAATACACAGAAGTTACTTGCTTGGAATAGAAGTTTGGGATGTTAAACAACTTCACGTCTTAAAAAACAAAAGCTTTGACCGTCAGTCCTCCACAAAGGCTTAAACAGTAAATCACCAGATTTTATCATCAACAATGAAGATAGATGGTAACCTGGGCTATTCATTACCTTCTCCAGTAGCTTGATCTTGAGCTGTACCAGTCTCAGTGCCTGTTTCTGTTTGCTCCTCCTCCTCATCCTCCTCCTCATCATCCTCCTCCTCATCATCATCGTCATCATCGTCGTCGTCCCGTTTGGCTGCTTCTTGTTTGAGCTTGTTACCAGCTGTATCAAGGTCCTGCATGAGCCTGAAGAAAGCTAGCTCATTGAAGAGGATCTCAGAGATATCTACCAGCAAGTCCTCTCCACACTCACGCATCCTGAGAGAAAAGACGATAAAATCAAATTACATAAGGTTTATCTTTAGTACAAACAACATCATGCTCCCCAGGGAGTGGAAAATGTGCATACATTGTGTTGTGGGTAAGCCTGAATCCGATGACCGGGGTAATAATATGTGCTGCGCCTAGAAACAAAGTATTAGGCGCATTATAAATGTGAGTTATTATTATTATTATTATCCTCATCACCAGAGTCACAACCTTAGAAGTTAAGAACAGTAACTCAGGGACTATCCTCTCACAAACAAATTGTGTAGAAGTGACAACAGTAAAGAGAGAATATGATGCTTTTTACACAATACAAACATATTTTCTGAACATGCTATTTAACCAGTATATAATTGATATCTAGCATTTCCAAAAAAAAATCTATTTATCCACAAAACTAAAAATGTAACGAAGTACTACCCAACCTGAAATATCTACTCTGTATTGTATCTAAATCAATGTGTTTCTGTTAATTGTTGACTGATGTAAATTTGCTTTATCCTTGAAGGAGAGCAAGGATCATATTACACTGCTAAAAGAATCATTGAAAATAAATAGCAAGCGGGTAGTCGACTTACTTTCTACCAGAGAACTTAGCCAGAGAGTCTTCCAGGATGGAGCCCAGCTGTCTGTTGAAGAAGCGGACAAACTCCCTGCTTTCATCCTTCTGCCTTGCCAGACCTAGCACCAGACGTCTGATGTAAGCCAGTAGCTGTGGAGAGCACACATCATCCATGTGTTCCTTGAGGTAGGGAATCACCTCCTGCATGATGCCTTTGATCTGTAGGTCCAGCTGACGAGTGTCAATGCGAGGGTACTGTTGGGGACAGAAGAGATCAGAAAAAATTCCTTTGGAATCACAGACTCATTTCAACGGGTGAATGGTTCTACAGCAAATATCTATTGTCAGTTTAAAAAAAATTAGTGACTTACAACAGTTGATCACTTTTGTTGAAATGAAAGCATCGCTCAAAAGTAAATGGAGTATAAATTTTGTATTCTGCTTCCCCCCACCCAATTTTTAAAAATTTATTTAATTGTAACTATTCTGCAGATTAGCACCAAACAGCCGGGCTGGCGGATTATAAGACAACATTTGCATTCAGTAAAACATAATATTACCACTCCTAATTATTTCATATTATTATCCATTACAAATATGAAGAGCGAAACACTTTATGATTGAACACATTGGAAATATCCTATTGTGCTCTAATACAGAATTAAGAATGTCCTAACTAAACTCACCGGCAGGTCAGAGAAGGAGCTTTCACTACCCATGTCTTGAGCTGAGCTATTACTAGTCATATCCGAGGCAGACATAGCACCTCCTTCCTTGGTATTATCTATTGAGCTGATTCCTGAAGCTGCCTCAACCTCTGCCTTCATCCTCTCGTATTCTCTCATCCGCTGAAAGATAATGAGAGTGGATAGTGTAAGAAATGACATAATTCAAATTGTTTATAATAGCTAGATCTAAATAGGTGCATTTCATTACCAAAGGATCATTAATGAGTTATCTTTGTGGTATACTTAAGTATGTTTGGCTACATGCTTGAAAATACCTAAATGAAGTTAGGTAGAAGCTTGAAACATACATGCACATCATCACCCCAACAATGCAAATTTTCTTATCTTCAAGTTCAAGTTCGATCCAAGTGTGTAACAAAAGTAAGTGTTAAACTCATATAAATGTGAGGATTCTTTACATCTACGTATGGTCAACACCTTATACCCTTTGTCAAAAATGATTTCCCCTCAAAATTCTTACCTTGAGTGCCTTATCAAGATGAATGACAGTGTCCCCCAGGTCTTCATTGGCAAAGCCAAACTCTGCTCGTCCTAATGATGGAGGTGTGGAGAGTGTACTAGCAGAGTCTACATTCTCAATGTAATCATACTGATCATCTTCCAGCAAGGCATAGGACGACTCATGAGGCTTCTGCAGATTAGCACCAAACAGACGCGCCTGGTGGAAAAAATCACAAGATTTCATAAAGTAGTTATAGTTATAAGAGCTATCATTCTAGTTGTACGTAAAGCAGTATTTTAAGTGACAAATGCAGAAGATTTTTTTTTTTTTTTTTGTGGTTATTCTACCTGTTCTGTCTTTTAACATATTCTCCTCTTTGAACCCAATGATTTCTACAATTTTGTTTTGGCTTCTCAGGTAATGACCAAACTAACATGTGATTTCAGTGCAAAATACAAATTAGCAGAAAGACTTCTCTCTTCATAGCAGCTCAAATATACAGTATATTAGAAACCAGATAAAAATGAAGTAAGTTTTGAAAAGAAGAACAACAAAAAAATGTCTTACCTTGATTTCTTCTTCATCTGATGTAATAAAGCTCTCACTTGGAGTTTGCTCTGATCCTGCGAAGTTCATCCATGCTGGCATTGGCTGTACACAAAATAGGAAAGATTTATCAACATATCTCTATAACTGGAGATAAATACTCAATGGCTGAAATATTCATTGTAATTTTTGTAATAACTTTTATGTCGATATTACTACAGTAAACATTTGTATATAATCACTTTCACCACACATTCAAAGAAATCATGTCATTCCTTCAGATATAGGAACTGACTAATGGGCAATAACTTTTCTGGTATTCTATATTTTTCAACATCTACACTGCTATGCAAAAATACAAGTCAAACCTGCTTTAGTGACCACCTGTCTACAAAGACCACCTGTCTACAAAGGCCACATTTTTTGTTTCCCTTGAAAATGGTTTCTCATGGAATCATGTACTAAAGGAACCTGTCTACAAAGGCCACTTTTTGTGTTTCCCTTGGGTGGTCGCTATGGACAGGTTTGACTGTACATGGATATGGAACCTGTACATATTATTCCAATATGTCATTGATTTAAATTGTATGTAGGTACACCTATACTGAAAATGTTAAAGGGATCCAGGGGGGTGTTTCATAAAGCTGTTCGTAAGTTACACACGACTTTACGCACGACTGGTGATATGTTCTTGTGCTACATGTAAATGATTGAGAATCTGATTAGTACCCAAGAACATGTTCCAGTCGTGCGTAAAGTCGTGCGTAACTTACGAACATCTTTATGAAACACCCCCCAGGTAACTTTGTCTCAGATACTGAAACAAAATCCTGGATTTAGCTCATGCTGCAATGATAACTATAAACCTTTAGGTCAGTCAGGAATCCCATGACTTTTACAAGCCAATCGCCTGTGTGATTATCAAGATATTTATGATTGGAAATCGAAACCAAATTTTGCGTTTGCCTAACGGTTTTCATAACACTACAGTCTATTGGGGAAAATGAGTATGGTAAAAACCGGTCGATCAAAGTTTTTTACTTTTTTGAGGCACTTCTTGATCATTTTGAAGCGGATTTTTTTTAGGGCTTCAATATTACACCATATCACAGACACTGATAACACAAAGGGCCGTGCATCTCAGATTTAACATTATTAAACGATGCCTTTAAGCACTTACCCTCTCTGACGGTAGCGTGGGGGCCTCGGATGCTGAAGCATTGGTGTTGTTATCATCAGTGAGGTACTTGGAGACGAGGTCTTGCAGGGCGTAAAGCGCCCTCTGTCTGAGGTAGTCTGTATTGAGCATCTGAAGCTCACGGAACAGCTCAATGAGGAAGTGAGGTCTCGTCTCATTCTGTGAGATGAGTGATGCCACTTCTGAGTAGATGGACTCACGTAGAGCTTCAAAGAGAGAGAACTCACTCCCTGCATCAGACTCACTAAGGGGTAATAGAGGAAATAAGAAAGTAATATTTGCTATCATTTTTCACAAGTGAAAATCGATTCGTAAAATAAACCATGCAAGCATTTCAATCACAATGGTGCAAAGCCTGAATTGAAGAACTTTCTGTAAAAATTGTTCCTCTAACCATTGCTTTTAGAAATAGAATCACGTTAGAGTATGTTATAATTTCTTTGACACACCAGCTTGGGGAGAATATAGAGTAGTCTGGCAGCTACCTCCATTGCCCCCTTCCTGTTTTTAAACATTTGTATAAATGTGACATAAAAAATAAACTAATTAAACAATTGAAACACTGTACGCATAGCATTTCATGTGATATAACCCATCTTCAAACACTATATACAAAATGTTGACTTACAGTTCACTTGTCTGTGACATGATTGATCTATCAGTGTCTTGCTGTATCTGTTGCTGCCGCTTCTGTTGACCTTTGCCCTTTGACTTTGCTCCATTGTTACCCCTATCACTGTCACCCGGTAGACTAGACATGGACACTGTGCTGGTAATGCTTGCTGTGTCCAGGAAGGCAGTCCCACTAATGGAGGAACTCAGACCAGTACCCATCTTGGGTCCTAGAAGCTTGGCCAGACGGGCGCTGGGCTGAGTGGACTGGCTTGATAGCTGTGCTCTGGCTTGGGATGCACTGCTTGGCATTGGGTGCTTGCCTGTAGAGGAACACAGCAAACAAGGATTAGGTTTTAATTTCCCAACAAGTATATCTTCTGACAATTGAAATATTGTTCAACCTTTCAAGAAAATAAATAAAGACTGACTCAATTGAAAGCTCACATCAAAACTTATCTTACTCTTTGAATGAAATGTGATAAGGGTTCTCATTATGTTATTAGGTACAGACATCATTATTAAAGATAACTGAAATGTCATAACTCAAAATATGGATCAATGCCATGGGCCATAATGTTCAATGTGCCTGGCAAAGGACTGAGTATTCCACAAGAATTGGAGAAACATTTCTTACCTCTTCTGTTGGATGATGTATTTGATCTCTGACTACCCAACTCATCTCGAAGTCTCCTCTGCTGATCTCTATAAAAATCATTGAAAAAAAAGGCAAGCATCACAAATTGTTCAATCACCAAGGTGTATCAATACCATTGTATACAGAAGTTGAGCAAGTACAAACCTTGCACATAAAATGGACATTGTATGGGTTCATATATCATGACATAATCATGATGGAGTAGTTCCATTTTACACTTTTCATGACTAAATTTCATACCACAATGCTCCATCACGCAATGAAACTGCCAGACACTAATTTAGTTTCATACTATTGACCTAGGATCCCAGTACAATCATTTAGCATAAAGTCTCACAATCTGCACCATTGCACACTATCCTATCCTGTTAAGAAAAGTAAGATTAGATGACTTACGTTCTTTTAAGAAGGCTGGTTATATCTAGTGGAGGTACAGCAATCTCTTCCCTTGACTCTGTGGGTTCCCTTGCCAAAAGATCATTGATGTCTCCAATCCCACTGTCTAGAGTGTATCCTCCCATCATCTTCATCTGCTTGCTGCTTATAGCACCGTTCAGGTAGGCAGTTTCAAACTCATCATCATCGTTGCTGACTTGAGCTGTGTTGGGTGGGACATGGTAGGAGGCTCTATCACCACCGTACCTCTGCCGAGGATGAGGGGGCTGGCGGGCATAGGGATTGTAGGTGTCCCTTTGACCAGCAGAGCCACCTTCATTCAGGTTGTTGGAGGCGTAGGGGTTTGCATAGGGTGAGGGGTAGTTGCCTGGACTTGGTTGAGCAAAGCCAGGTGGGAATGTAGGATTCACGTTGAATGGCATGCCTATTGATGTGTGAAAGAAACAGAAGAATATAAGAAGTCTCATACTAGTAACTGTTTTGAAATGATCAAGCTCCCTTTCCCCCACCATTCAACATTAGGATGTAAATCCATACATTCATAGGAGAAACTGAAAACGGAGATTAGATCTGGGCAGGTTGATGAAAAGGAAAGAGCATAGGCATCATAGTTATCTTTACCTCATCATCTGTTTTAAATCTACACCTTTAGTATATTTGGAAAGGGTCACTACTTAACACATGAATCTGTACTTAATCTTAAATAAGAGAAAGAGAAAGGTCATATCATGGTAAAACTATAAATTTTGATCATGAAAGATAAGACTGAACTTACCACGATTATATGGAGGAGGACCGTACATTGCTTCAGGTCCCATACCAGGGGATCTCCCAAAGGATGGGGCCTGACCTGGGTATCCCATGCCCATGGGTCTGGCTTGATTCCTGTACATAGGTGGGGCATTGTTATTGCTATTGGTATTGGTAGATGCCATGCCGCCTTGGCCTCCTCTTCCTACATCAAAGGAAGCTTCTGAGTGTCTCTCCTCCAGCTGGCTACGCAGTCCCTGGATCTGATTCTGCTGCTGATAGAGCTGGGTGTAGGCACTGTTCAAGTTTAGCATCAGTTGCTGGTGCTGCATGCGAAGATCGTAGTTCTGGACAAGGTCATCTAGGTGACCTTCTCCAGGAGGAACAAAGGGGTTGGGAGGTGTGGGGGTGGGCTGTAAACCACCATGACCAGCTGTCAATCAAGAAGAAAAAAAAATTGGTGAATTTTTGTGCGTGATTAATCAACATCTCAATAGACAGTTCCTCATTCTTACTCTGTAAATATCAATTTCTGCATTCCACTATGTTTTCTTATCATTCCAAAAGAAGTCAAACTTTAAACCTTCACAACTTGACAAAAATTCCTTTTTGACACCTGAACCTTTAAAAATGTGATAAAATATTATTGTGGGAATGTATCATACTCAATCTAAACAAACAATACTATTTTCAGTTGACAAGATGTTTAAAAATATATACCATAATTTTGCTAAATAATGAGTTCCCTTCCTGATAATATGGATTATAGGATTTGAGCTGGTTGACTTGATTCTAGGCATAAGAGGACATACCATTGAGAGATCCTGACAGTAGGTTGCTCATTGATTGTTGATCTGAGATAAGTGACTGACACATCCCCATGCTGTTAGATAGCTGTCTCTGTAGCTGCCCAATGTGACCTTGTAGAGCCTGGACAGTAGGGTCATCCATAGAGGGATCTTCATAGCCATCAGACACAAGCTCCTCGGCTGAACGGATGTTCTCCTGCCTACATGTACAGGATGGAACAGAACAAAATGATGGAAACAATGAAGTTTAGACTTGAGAGTAATCATCAATTAATTCCATACTCAAACAATGACTTTCATCAAGGGGAGGATGAAAGTGCGTCTCTCAAAACATCTTTTCAGTTGAAGCCAAACATTGAATCTAGTTCTATGACTGTATCATATGACTTTATGAATTCTCATAGATATTGCAATCCATATCTCTAAAATAACGCAACTATCATTCCTTTTTAGGTTTGGTGGTAAGGTGGATTCCCTTGGGTTTTCCTTACTTCAAAGACTGATTTAGTGTCTGATATTAATTAAATTAAGTTTCATACATTTCATGTCAACAAGAATCCTGGTTATATAAAAAAACCTCTTCTTACCTGAGATGACTCTGCCTATCTAAAGCTGAGTTGATGTGCTTAGGATATCTAATACCATGCCTAGCTGCATCCATAGACGATGTCTCACCATCATCTTCCATGGTCACTCTCTTCACTCCTGGGTAAGGTAGTGCTTTTCTTCTCCTGCTGGGTGGCTTATCACCTGACTCAATGGTGTACGTATCTGAGGTATCAATACTCTGCTCCTGTATCATATCAAACATAAACAATCAAACTTTTTTCACTCACTTTCAAATGGTAATCTCTGTGAAAGCAAATACAATGTAACAAGTTTGTATCCAATCCTACAAAATAGGCAACAAAAATATAATTCATTTTGTTAAATCTATGCTTGCATATCATTATTTACAAACTCTTATGCAAGAAAAAAATCTGTATCATAACCATGACCATAGATGAATCATAAATTATTGAATATCAAATCATGAAACTCATGAGTGAATGAACATTAATGTTTAGTTACCAAATAACTTCATGAACCACATCTAGTTTCAATGAAGAGTAAAATGAAATGTACAATTACAAATAAAGAGAAATACAAATACAAAAGACCCACCTCCTCCTCTTCCTCCACCTGTAAGATGCCATCGCTAGGATATCCATCTTCTAATCCTTCATCCTCGCTCACCTGCGTTGATCCACCCCATGTGGCAGCTGCTGTGATGTCAGCGCTACGCATACTCAATCTGCCGGCATCAAGCAATAATTCCCTGTTCAGTTTACAAATGAATGAGAGAGAAAGAGGGGGGGGGGGGGGGGGGGGGGAGAGAGAAAGGGGGGGGGAGAAGGGAAGAGGAGGATAGATAGACCACAGAAACAAGAGGAGAGAAAATGCAAAGTTTTATTTTCAATGTATCCCATGCAGCGCCCCACAGACATACCAGTGCAAAGATTTCCAAGTATACACCAAAGAAAGAACAAAATGACAGAAATAAGATATTTACTACAGGAAAAGATTAGACTAACAAACTAGCACCAAAATAAAAAGGACATTTTCTAAAACTTTTTTTTTCTTCATCTATTTTGCAATCACTATTGAGGCATTCCATGCATGGCTCATAAGTAAAAGGTAAAACCATTTCAGTCACAAAGAAAGCACATAAAGATAGTTCCTCAGAAACAAGAAGCAGATCACTCAACAGCTAATGTTTACTCTGCACGATATATTTCTACCATAAAAATAATCTTTCCTCTCGATAAACATGCAATCATTTTATTACAAATTTTCAAAATGAATAAACGTATTGATCAATATGAATGAAGTTTTTCGCTTACTTTATTACTATAGCAATAATTATTTAAGCTTCTTTGTAGACACAGTAAATAAAATTAGTAAAAATATGGCAAATTTTTTTTTATAATGAAGAAGCAAAAAAAAAAGGAAAAATTGAAAGTACAACTTCTAAATACAGTTCTTTTCTACACTGTATGTACAGCAGCATCACAATATGATAAACTACATCAACATGCACAGATGCATTCATGAATATATTTCAAGTTTTACCTGATCATAATAGCCATATCTGATCTTAGTCTGGAAGAATCAATATAATAATTGTAGATTTTAATCATTACTTTGAAACATATACTTCACAGCTTCTAGATGGTCCACATGGTTTGTTAGTAGCGTTTGGATTTCGCAAAACGACAGGATAAGAAATGCGACAATCACCAAGTTCTTTCCCCCTTTTACTAGACATTTTTGAAAAGGGGTATATTGCACAGAGGCATACAGGAAATACTAGAGAGGAGCTTGTTTAATAGAAGACAGTTGAAAATACAGTGCAATATATATATATATATGAGAAGTAGAAAAGAAAGTGAACTTTTTTATATCATTTCAGTAATAGCAAATAAAGAAAGTCTATTTAATTCATATTGCTATATTGGATATTTTCAAGATAGCAATTAACAAATTTCAGGACAAAATAAAATCATCACTTACAACTGGCATTAACGTTCAAACCAGTTAAGATTATAATATGTCAAAGTTGATCACAAGGATGCTTAACTCATTTATAAGGTTGCCGATCTGGTTTATGCTTACCTGAATAAATCATTGTCATACCCGGCTAAGTCTGTCTGAAGAGGATACTCAGATCCATCACGTAACCTCTGTTAGAAAATCAGAAGAAAAAGCGAATTGTCAACAAAGACATGTTTAAATCATTTTGTACTTATTGATAATAAAATCATTGCTTTACTTTTTTATATAACATGCCAAAGGTAAATCGATAAGACAAAGATATATACAAAAACAGAATTTTAAATTAACTTTAACTTAATACATTAAAGATGATCTATTCAATGAAATCATTTCCTATAGTTTTACTGAATTATTATAACCATCCATGTACACATACTGATCTAAAATGATCAGGCTCCAAGTCTTTTGATCACTTTTGCATGTCTCGGCTCAGGAATTTCCGATGTATAGCTGCTCTGCATTCTTTCATGTACTTACCTCTCTGTTCATTTTGACAATGTGTAGTAGGTCAGAGAGCTCACTCTTCTTCTCTCTCAGTTCATCTTGAAGAGCTCGATTTCTCCTCATCTCAGAGTAGACTTCCTCACGACTTGGCGTGGCCACAGCTACAATGGACAAAACAAATAATGAAGGGGGTAAGACAAAAGGAAGTTATAAATCACCTCTAAATAGGTAATTTATATTGTTCTAGCAAAAGATATTACATTGAGGAGGAATGGCTGTGAGATTAAATAAGCCACAAAGTGGTATATTTGCTTTGGTGTATAATTGCATATACAGTTTACCACATACAGGCACTCTTCCTTACAACTAAAGGGACAGAGTGGTCAGATGGAGGTGCCCCCCCCCCCCAAAAAAAAAAAAAAAAAAAAAAAAAATAATAATAATAATAATAATAATAATAAATAAAATAAATAAATAAATAAATAAATAAATAAATAAATAAATAAATAAAAAATAAAAAATAAAAAAATAATAATAATAATAATAATAAAGAACTGAGCTTATCTTTACTACCATATCATGATTTGCAAATTCTTACCTACATTGCAATACCAATTTTTTCTTACACAATGTACCAAAGCAAGTATGGTATACTAATAAATGAGTAATATCAGAAATTTGACAAGGGGGGCATTGGCAGCTGGATTAAGCAATAGGGAATTTATATGAAACTTACATTGGACATTAGTTGAGGCATCTCTCTTAGTTGGTGGGATGATGTTCACCGTTTTTACCCCAGGTTTGGCAGGTTGCTGCAGAGAGAGAGAGAGAAAAGAAAAAAAGAAGAAGGAACATTATCATTTAATCATAAGACGTACATAGAGCATTTACTGATACATCTCTGAAGCTTTGTTTTCATCAATTTTCAAATAATGGTTCCACATTTCTGAGAAACCTGCTTAGCAATTTGCATAGTAATTTTATGTCAATATCCAGATCTAGTAAGTAATCCTTTTTGTAGCTCTTACATTCAATAAACAAGAGAAAAAAAATATCCAAATGGAGCACATGCTTCTTACAATTCACAAACAAATACTTCTGGGTGAGGAATTCATGAAAGGGTTTATAATTGACAGTTGAAGAGCAGCATACCTTTCTGACAGGAGGGAGATTCTCATTGAGTTCCTTGAGCTGCTGTTGGACACCCAGGAGTCGATGTCTCTCAGACATGAGATTCTGAAGCTCCCGTCTCTGCTGATTCATCTTAGCCTCATAATAGGCTTCCCTACAAACCATAACAAACAAACAATAGAATCAATGTCATGTTAAACAAACATCTAACATATGGTGTTATAGCAGGTAAAACGTGAGAAAGACTCAATGCACCTTTCAGGAGCTCAATGCAACAACACCATGTACAACCAAAGATAATGCAAAGCCTTACATCTTATCAAGTAAATTCACTCATAGATGAGTTCACCTCACTGATAAGTAATCTATACATAGTTGAATACATTACCATTTTGATTCAATGATATCAGCAATACAATGTTCACAGTAAAAATTGCTCCCAAGCCACATGATGTATTAGTGCTTATCAGAATGCATTCCATAACACAGCATGTATTTAAGTCTATCAATTTTTATTTGCCGTTTGCTAATGTAATCAATACGTTGACATTCCAAAGGTGTATTGACATTTCAGATTGTCTGGAATATGACTCAAGCGTTGTGTATACAGTATAATATTCATTCAGTGGCTAATACGGACCAAGGCCGGACAACATACCAGTACTTTATTATGAGGACGGAATAGTTTGACAATAATCAAGGACAGTTGAATTCCACAATGAAACAAGATAAAGGGGAAAAAGGGAATAGCCAAGGAGAAAAGGGAAATGGAGAAATGGTGAAAGGAAAAGAGAGGGTCTCAATCGAGCCCCCCAAGCCAAAGAAAAAAAAGAAGTGAAAGAAAGTGAATGAAATAGTAGTAATGTAAGATTGTTGCCTCCTGTGGCTGGGCCTTGGTTTGGCGCCGTCTGTTGTTCGGTGTGCACTCGGGCCTCTCTAGCAATGGCTTGAGTGCACACTGGACAATGGCCTGGGCATGGGTTCGGTTGCAAGAGGTGACAGCTTTCACATTACTGGAGAGGACATTACTGCAGAGAAGTCACAAGTGGTGCACGTGCATACTGGGCAATTGAGTTACATGTGAGTTAATCATTTGATTATTCTTATAAATGTTACATTTATTTATTGTTATATATGTACATGTATCCTACTTATATGCTTGTTGAACAATTATTGATGTCCCTATGGATATTGGTAGAATTTGAGTGTGTAATGGGTTCTTGCACTGCAATCCTTTTTATAGTATTTGAGTGGTGTATGTGAATGTACACAAAGTGAAATCCTAAACTTGCACTTTTAATTTTAGTTGGTGGTACAATGTTTTACGATTTTACACAGATTAATGGTCTATATGACTGAATTTTATTTATTCATACCTCTGAATTTTGCTGTATGTTAATTGTAATACATGACGTTTTATCTCTCATAGGACCACAAAGACTGTATTGTACAAGGGCGTACGTTTAAGACAAGCCTTTTTTTTATATAGTATGGGTGGTGAGTGTTATTGGATTTTATTGTATTGAATGAATCTGTTGTTGCTTTTTTACACTTCAACTGTAATTTAGGTTTTGCTTAAGTGATGTAAGGCATTATATATGTGAAATGAAAAGTTAACTGTCCTTCAGCCGTTATATTAGACATGATATATTATTTAATTTAACCTATTCATTGAAGTCATGAAAGTAATAGTGGTGATTATTTAGTTGATACAATATTTTGAAGCTGGTCTATAATAAACTTATTCACTGAACACCTTCTTTGTTGCTGGTACAGATCATGAAGTAATTGGTTATTTGAATATTATGGTGTTTTTGATGTACATTTGTTTTTACTCTTGTGCTTCTACAGGGGCTGTTTTGTTGCCTTCAGAATAAAATAACCTTCCATCAACTGCAAAGCGTCTAAGAGTGATCTTATTGGCCTTTCTTTCAAAAAGAATGTGAAGAGGGCGAACGAAAGAGAGAAATGGGACAAAAGAGAATGTGAGAGGATAAGGCAAATCAATGAAATGTATATAATTGGGAAATAATCCCTTTTAAAATATTCCAGTTTTAAATAGGTTGCCTTACCTTGTTTCCCTGACAAACTCTTCAGGAATCTGTTCATCTCTATTTGGCATCCTGTGGTCGCCTGTAGCACCTGCCACAGCAAGTTCACTCCCACTCTCCTCCACCGTTTCATCCCCCTCCTCTGTTTCATCCTCCTCGTCCTCGTCCTCATCTTCATCGTCGTCTTCATTGTTTGATTCTGAGTAGTCTGCAGTAAGGCCAGCAGTAAGGCCAGCAGCCAGCTCAGCCAGGTCATCGGGCAAGGCTGAAGCCACTTCAGGAGTCTGTTGTACCATGGCCACGAGTGACTGGAGTTGGCGTAACTTATGCTTTGCCTCTTGCAGTTTTCTATAGGTGAACAGAGGAAATAGCAAAGCATGGTTTTATTGCATTGCACATCATAGACAGGGAAGTTAAAACAATTACAAAGTTAAAAGGGATCATCAAACAAAAAACAAAAAAGGAATAACGTGAGACACTTACACGATGTGATACATATCTAAAAATCTGAAAAGTCAGAAACTATTACATATTAACTGCTGAGAGCCATGAGAATGTTATCTCAGACCATTTTACAAAGAGTTGGTGGCCTTCTCTCTATCAGAAGACTAAGTATATAAATAAATGGATACTTTGGTTATTGTTGCATTAAGGACATTTCGCAGTAATGTTCATGCACACCATGCCTGGAGTTCCTGGTATTGTGCATAGTAAATACATGATCTTATCATTTTGATGATTCCAGAACCTTGCAGTACACACCAATACTTATATGCTAGATGATCAACCTTTTCTGATTGATTCCACACCGTTTCTTTCACAATGTAATCGCATGACCAGGGACCCATTTCAAAAGCCTTTTTTTCAATGACAAATGACAAGTCTGCTAATAAACAATCAGAAGCAAGGACTTCAGTACCTTATAACAAAAACTGTTATTTGTCACTAATGATAGGTTTTGTGAAACGCCCCCAAGTACTCAACTCTATCCTTAAATCACACTATTCTAATATAATTGATATCACAGACTAGTGACCCTACCTGACTTTCTCTTTGATTTCTGGATCATCACCCCATGCAGCTAGTATGGAGCTGTGGTTACTCTCCGTCTCTGTCTCCGTCTCAGTCTCGGTCTCTGTCACTGTAGTGGTGGTCTGACCTGAACCAACCTGTACATGGGCACTATCTCCGCCATATGACATCTGCAAAGTTAACAAGGAATTTGGGTTATATAAGCTATTCTCATTCAACATTTTCTACATATATATATATATCCTTTAAAAAAAAAACTCAATAAAGGTATTACATATCTACCATCTGTTGAGAGCCAGAAGGATGTTAACTCTTTATAAAAGCTTATAAATAAATGATCTCCTGGCTCCCAACAGAAAATATAGTCATCCTTTCAACGCAATAGAAAGAATAATTAATATAACAGAAATACAAAAAATCAATACAGTCAATCGACTGACGATATAGTACACTGGCATACTCCATAAGTCACAAGCACATTAATCATTGTGATTGACAAGAAACTACACCTTCAATGAATGAAATGAATGGTTGTGACCACCAAGGCCTCCAAAGACTACCCTCACATTGAACACAATGAAGTAATATTCATCAATTCAATGCGAGACTAATGCCCATGATTAATTAGCTAAGGTAACAGATGGTATCTTCACGCATGAGAGAACTTACATGATTTGGCCTCATCTGGACAGGTCTTCCTACCGGTTCACCTCTCTCTAATCTCCTGTAAATGACAAGAAAAAGAGAATATGGTTAGTATCTCTATTGTCATATTGTATAGTGTGGAACAGACAGGCGAGCTAGCAAGAGAGCATTACCAATAATCATAATCATCAAACAAACTCTCTATGTACTTAAATATGTACCATTAAAGGGGACAACAACATCTCAGGCAAAAATACAAACAAACAAAATACACAGGTCCTTCCCCGGGAGTAAAACATAGATGAAAGAGGGGAAAAAACATGGTCAAAAGATGAATATTTTTAAAGTAATGAGGAACGGATAAACAAATAGAATTAAGGAGTGAGAGAGAGAGAGAGAGAGAAAGGGTTGTCACATCCATACAATTTTTTCTCTGTGCATACCTTAGATTGCTCATAAGAACAGGATCCTCATAATTGGCCCCTAGTCCCAACTGCTGCATTTGCTGTTTGCGTTGCGAATCTTCATCCTGGTCACCTAATACCTGACTTGTATCCTGGTATTGCTGTACTAGATCACGGAGCTCTGTAAGCCTCTCCCTTACATCGTGCAATTTTCTGAAAGGAAAACATATTCATGATTAGTCCGACTATTTCTACTAAGTTCCATGTGGCATTCTTGGAACAAAACTATCTAATGTAAGTTAACTTCACATAAAATGTAGAATATAATCAACATTATTTCTTATCAAGTTTCTATTAACACCATCTCATATTTTCTAAGTGAGCATGTTCAATCAGAAATTACTACTGTATCATATAATTTTAATTACATTTAAAACTATGGCATAAATAATGAAAGAACAATATTAGCTTACTTTAATTACAAATTAAATAAATAAAGAAAGAAAAAATGAAAATGAAAATAAAAACAAAATAATAACAAAAATTAAACAGCATTGTCGGAAAACTATGATGAGCCCTGTCTGAATGGGAGGGGTAAGAACAAGACAAAATTTGGTATTCTTTACCTGATGCTTTCTGTTCCATTGGTAAGAGTGGCTTCATTTTCATCCAATGACTCATTAGGTTCTTCACACGGCACCATCAAACCACTGTATTCATTGGCATTTGAAGTGGTAGATGCTACGCTTGATGTATCACCGACTGTATTATAGAACATTTGAATTTATATTACAATGTTATTCATAAGAAGTTAATTCCTGTACTGCAATTCATCAGGTCGGGTAAAATGGTAGAACAAAATGGTAGTAAAAAACCAAATGATAGCTGACAGCAATTTCAACCTGTTGGCTCTTTATCAATACCTCACATTATCCATTTCAAGGGAAATCTACGACATGTATATAATTTACATCTTCATGAGCAGACTGGATATTACCAATGGTATAAAATCATTCGATATTGAAATGAATCCTTATCAGTTTTGCAAATGGAGACATGCATTCAAAAGTACAAATATTAAACGCCATGACAAATAATAACAAGTTGAGTGAGCAATGACATACCCATATTAGCCATATCAGGATGAAGAGCATGGAGCTGTATAAGAAGATCATCCATCTGTCTCTTCTTCTGCTGTAAAGCTTCTAGTTTATCTCTCAATTCTGCATGCTCTGATGATACCAATGGTGGACTAACCTAGAAAGGCAACAATACAATGATCTTGATGAATATGTTACAAATCTCTAATTAAACCTGAATTGGTACAAGCTTTATGCAGAAAAGCTTAAAAATGATGATGACAATACTATAACGTTCTTGTATAGCACATATCACATCATAATATAACATCTCTATGCGCTTCCAAAAAAAAATTATATTATTACCCCAGCTTCAGCTCCTGCAACCATAGTGTAACTTATGGTTCACAGTCCAGAGACATATCCACTAGACTACAAGATTTATCCATTGAATACTGAACCAAAAATAACTTGTGGTCGAGTCCACAAAAAATGCATGTTATACCTCCAAAAAAATTCCAATTGATATGATAAAGGGGGTCACAACACATAATTGAGAATACCATATTTATATAACCTATTGCATACAAAGATGAAAGAAGTAAAAAAATCCTGATATCTACAACCCAACTATATTTATGCGTAGTTGCATCAAAACTATTCATGAGATTTACTGGTTTTATTAAGGGGATCCTTTTCTGACGAATGAATCATCTGGTCCTATTCCTCTGCAGAACAATGAGAGAACAAAGTCCACTTATCACTCTTACCTCCTCCTCGGCCTGTTCCATCCAGTCGAGAGCCCTAGCCTGCTGGATCTCTCCTGATCTTGTATCACTCTGTTCAGCTAGCATACGCATCAGAGTTCTACGCCTCTCCTGAAGGTCTTCGGCCGTCAGAGGAACACCTGTTGCAAACCGACCAGCTGTTGTCATTAGCGGCTCGGTGTCCTCAGTGACAGAGGTGCCGGCAGTCGTTGTAGTTGCCTGAGTACTAGTGATAGAACCTGCAAGATCAAAATGAATTCCATTAATAAAGTGAGTAACCATTCACTAGCATTTTTATTTACAATATATAAATTAGCAGGATGCTGGACTTGCAGTTCTGCTTCACATTCTCTTAACTCGATTCAATCTCTCATAATTTTCTTTTTTCCAGATAATTGAAAGGTCAAAGTATGATTGCAATATTATGACAGGATTAGCAGTATCTGTCTACTAATATAATACACTTTTATAAAAAGTAAAACACAATATTTGTCTTTAATCATCTAATACTACAAATCAGAGAGTCATCTTTGTTTTTGTTTGTTTTTAAATTTAATTCATAAACATCACTTTATCAAACTTGTACAACAAAAGGGACTATAGCCCAGGACAAATCCAAATTATTGGTAGATGTAAGGCATAACAAAGTGAATGTCACTTTGTTGTCTAAATTATTATTTTCAACTGACCACATATTTAAAATGATACAGAACTTGTTTGCTAAGGGTTTACCTGTTTCTTCTGCTCTTTCCTGCTCTGAGTTTGTCAATCTGCTCTCAATCTGAGTTTGTAAGGTCATCAATGCTGTTTGTCTGTTCTGAAGTGTTCTCAGCTAATAATAAACATAACAAATTTCAAAGTGATATTGTTGTTTTAGTTTTATTGGTGTGTATCATTCAATTATGAATATTTACACCGTGATGATTTATGTTGCTGTAGTTTAAATGAAGTTCACATTCCATCACACAATACACTTTTTTTTAAACATCTTATTCATATGTATTTACTTCATATTTAATCATTTTTCACAAATGAAACATGTCACAAATGATGGTATTGATATTTGCATCTATATCTCATCCTGCGACTGAAAGGATAAAAGCTACAGATCATTCAACCATTTTCCACTACTACTCTTCAGCTAAACATTATGTTCTATTCTAGTATGTGTAGCTTATAAATATATTTTGCAAGATAGATGTAATGAAACACTGCTATATTATCAGTTCATGATTTCTGGTTAACATTTACATTTTGAGGACTATGAATAAAATATGTATTAAATTAATTTGTCAATCATACCTCTTCCTGCTGTTTAAGCATCTTCCGTAATAAATCATGTTGCTTCCTTAATCCTTCAAGGGTCTCGATCTGCTCAGAGACATTTTGCTTTGTCTGTTGGCCCTGCATGCAAAATATAGAAGGAACTATTAGACACTAAGAAGTATTAAGTATCGTGACAGGAAAATGAAAATAGTTTATTCAACATACCTACAATTCAAACTAATAAATAATGGAATTATATGGAAATATTAAACATTAAGGTGTATTAAGTATCATGATAAGAAAATGACAATTTTTTATTCTACATACCTATAATTCAACCCCAATAACAATCAACATCTCCTTCATAATACTTGACATGTACACTCCTCTAATGAATATCACTTCCAAACCATGCATGTATATTCCATTCATTTAGAATCCAATAACACTATGTCTCCACACTCATGAAACATATGGATCTGATCAAAGAATCATATCAATTATGATTCACAATGAGTCCTACTACTATTATTACTGTACTACATGACACACACTGAATGATGGCCATACAAATGGTACCATTAAAAATGCATAACAAAGCATGCATTATATTATGCTTGACTGATTCTACCGGAATACAGCCACCGACAACAGATGGGATACAGTCATGTTCATTCATGCATGAAACCTCAAAATATCCCAATGGAAATGGTGTGGAACCTTCGCATAAATAGTGACACCTTTGTTTGAATAGCAACACCTTTGATCAAAAAGCAGCTACTGCACAATAGCTGGCAGTATTTATTTATAACTCAGACACAACACTGTATTCTATATTCAGAATCCAGTGTTGTGTCTGCGTTATAAATGCATTATAATGGATTCTGAATACAGAATCTAAAACAGTAAAAGATGGCTGAGCAGAACACATTTTTTTTAATGGAAACGTTGTCAGTGATGGAGTGACAAATGAATAAATATTTGAAATTTGATTTCTATCCAATTCAATCACTAAAAGAAATTCTACCCAAGATATATTTCACTAAACAAGTAACAGAAATGATGACCTTTTTTCAAATGAAGATTCAACTTTCAGATGTGATACACATTAATAAATGAAAGCATGACAAAATATGCAATATCGATGTAAAACTGAACTCATGATTATCCATCGACAAACCATTCTGTACAGAGAAAATTTGCATTTTTCAAATTGTTTGTCGTTAGAATGTGGATTTTGTGTACCCAAAGATCTACCTGCATGAATGCACTGAATGTGTTGATATGGTTACCATACACACATTCCACTTTTATAAATTGAATAAACTTATTAATGGTTGGACAGGATTTCCTGAACTAATTGGCTCAAAAGATAAGTAGGAAACGTAGCTCAAGATACAGAAAACAAATTTCATTTGCAGAATGGAGCTGACTTTATGTTATTGGCAGCAATGGTCTGTGTACCGGTACATGGAATGGTGGTCATGTAGTGAAAAATATGCACATTCACATCACTAGATGTAAACACTTTATTCATCCTCTATTTCAACTTTGTTTAAACACGAGGTTTTATTCATTTATAAGAAAATAAATTGTGAGCAAGACTATCATCATTCATGCTGATGTATTATATTGCCTAGGATCACTTGTAAACCGACAGCCGTTAACTTTAAAACGTATTTCAATACAGGCAAGACAAAATCTGGGTCAATTTGCATGCTATAGTGGTCCATTATTCACACAACACAAGGACTAATCACAGACAAGAATACCTGAACTACCAGAACAAGTTTTCAGAAACAATGGCACACTGCAAGCATTGTAAATATGGGACAGGAATATCAAACAAATACAATTCTATCACTGTCCAAGCATTTTTTGTTAAAAAATCAATTTCATTATCTATTTTCAGCAATGTGCTACTTTCTATTCCATATCAGTGATAATGTGCAAGCAATTGGGTGAATTGACTGTTAGTGAAATAGTGAATCTACCCTGGGACCGAAACCAGGGATAAGGTGCTTTCCAGAATGCCATGTAATACTCCAAAAAGAATGAAGAAGAGAAATGATCTAATGATCTGCATCTAGAGTTGCCATTGTTTGTTGAAAATTGTTGAAATGACAGATCAGCAAAAAAACAAACAGACGAATAGACAGAAGGAAGCTACAAGAACAGGTAGTAAACTACGAGCATGCCAACATGTGAAGAATGAATTATATCATGTTTTACTTTCTTGAAAGTATCTTAATATTCGTGCTTCGCCCAAAAGTATTTTAAGATTCCCAACCACCAATTCCCATTTGTAAAACCATACACACATGTGAAGTATAAATCAAGTGATGTTTTATTTTCTTGAAAGTATCTCAATATTTGTGCTTCCCCCAAAAGTATCCAAAGATTCTCAGCCACCAGTTCTAACTTTGTCAAACCACACACACTTCTAATACCTGTTTCTCAAAAATCCTGGATCTATGATCAAGAAACTTATATGCTTCATTGAATAATGGCTTTGGTAATGGACAATTCTGTTTTCCTTTCTTGCATGATCTCATTGTTCAAGTGAAACATAAACAGCGTGTGAAATCTTTGTTAGATGTTTCATGAATACTCAGTTAGGCAGTGTAAAATACAAAATACAATATATATTTGTACTGTAGCCTCATGAGATGACATCAGAGTTCCAACAATGGACTTATATCATGAGAAAGCACCGTTAATCCCTGGAGGCCGGCCCCAAAGGTACATGTGATGCGTACCTCCTGAAAGCTGTATGAAGAATTGGAAGACATATGAGAAGATGTGCTCTCGTCCTGTCCTTCATTCCTAGATAGGGTAATCCTTTCCATGGCAGCGCTCAGGTTTTCTTCACCTCCATCTTGGTACTTCTGCAGCATGGAGCTGTACTGTTCATGAAGCTCTTGGGTGTCCAAGCCAAAGGAACCACTGGCGTAGCTACTGACTGACCGAATGTCATCCAGCTCGGAATCGCTGATATCGTTGTCGCTTGCGCATGAGTGATTGCCAAGGTGGCTTTCAATTTTGGGACGGGTGCGAGCTGTGAAAGTACCCTCCTAAAAATACAATGCATGTTATTATTTATCAGCTTGGGAATTTACCACACCAGCAAGCTCTTGAATGAACTCAAGCATCATGCGAGGCTATGGAATGGAAGTAAGGCATACTGGAGAGTTGGAAGGAGGACGTAAATTTGTTCATGTCAAACTTACTGAAGCCAGGTAGGAAGTATGTCATCGAGAATCTTCATGAAAATTGACCTATGATTTGATAGGCAATTTGATAGGCATTTATGAAACTATTGGGCTTAGCTTGTAAAGTTTGACATTAACAAGATTTATTTCCTGCAGGATTGCTTAATCATTCTAATGCCAGCAACTGAAAATAAGCATATGTAACTTTGCATTAAGAAGTTTACATGAGCAACTTTGATTGTTACAGATACATCAAAATATATATAATTTGGCACTCACGGTAGTAGCCTCTGAAATATCTGAACGTGCATCTAGGTTGATTGATGCTGATTCTGCTACAGATGTTGCAAAGGATTCTCCAGAGTTCTGACTACTCCTGCCTTCAACAGCTGCATCCAAGCCATTGAGATCATTACTTGTGACCGATGACTCCATCCCAGAGATGGAGCCAGCTAAGCTGAGCTCCTCAGCCAGCATACGCTCCAGCAGAGCCAAGTAACCTCTTTCTTGCTCCTGGAGGTGTTCCTGGAGCCGGCCTAATTTGCCCACCTGGTCGTCCTTCTCTGGACTCTCAATAGAGTTCTGTAGGGTAGACATCATGGCATTGGCCTGTTTCACATAATCCTGAAAAATTAGAGAAACGAGTTGATGAAACACATGAAAGTGTGCAAAGGTAGCACAAACATGTCAGCTTGAAAAACAAGTGACCTGGATACAAAACAACCATAATTTGTTTATTACTATACAATGCTCTCCCCCTAAAAAACAACAACAAAGGTTCCTATTTAAGGATTGTTGAACTATTTAATCTTTAAAACTCTACACTTGATTATCTTATCAAAATTACTCCAAAGAGAACAATTGAAGGATTAAAACATGACAGTTTCAAGGAGTTATGTGAGCAACGATACATATATTGCTTGCATTACATCAATAAATGAACACTTACCCTTATTTGCATGAGTCTGGCTACAATCTTGTTTCGATCAGGCTGAAAGAAAAAAAAAGGGGGGGTTGAATTCTTTCATGTTTGTATTTCAAAAGAATTTTTCAGAAGATGAACAAATGCAGCTGACAAGACAAATGTAAATGAACTTAGAATCCAAAAGATTGATGATAACTATTTCCTATTAAATGAACCTGTTTGATAAACTAGCAGTTATGAAGAAGAGAGGCAACTTAGGCTGTTATCATGCTAATTGCTCTCCACCTTACTCATACTCCCAGTCCAGTCTTTGTATATATATGTAAAACCGCTCATGTAGGGAAGGAATATGTTGTGGTAATTTACCTTCTCATTGACGAAGATTGTATCCAGTAAAGAGGGAGGTCTTCTGGTGCCACTTTCGATGGATGCTACATCATCACCTAGTCTCATGTTGTTCACTCTATTAGCAATGCTGACTGAACCCAAAGCTTGGCTGTCTGTGCTTTGCTGTGAACAAGCAAAACAGGAGAGAAAAAATGTATGACCTCTTATGAAAATATCATCTTAAGGTGCAATAAAATCTGCTCAAATCTAAAAATAGACAAAGGATTATGAGTGTCACTACGGTGATAATCGAGACAAGATGTCAAGTGCCATCATAAGCAGTCCTTCATGAATACATTGACTGTATGGCTCGTAAGGGTCATTAAAAGAAGAACGGAGTTATTTCTCAAGAATGGATAAGAGAACCACAAAGAGTTTTTCACATGGGGAATTTTTTTTGAAGAGGAGCATTGGGCAAACGTTACTGTATGTCATCATTTCAAATTACATTTAAGACACACTACTCCAAGGTGGGAACATCATAGAGAACACTTACGTCGTCAACATCACTGTACGTCAGCTGTTGACGGAGATTCTCAAGCTCCTCTCTGTCTAAAAGGGAACTAACATGTTGTGTTCTTGGGTAGGTTGCTGGTGTGCGACGGCGGGAGGGACCATTACTCATCATAGCAGCACCTTGCGTATCCTGTTTTAATAGATAATAGAATACATCAAAAAGTTCGTCATTGGCAATTTCCTTCACAGAAGTGCAATTTCTTTCAGGGAAAAACAGTGGTTAACTTGTAAATAAATATCATGTCTTTGACTGCCACAAACACTCATTGGGATTTTCAAGCAACAATACCATTTAGTAAGTGAAAGTAAGAATTTGCCTCTGTTGCAGTTTTTCTTCTAGGGGTATTTTGTTAAAAAACTTTGAGGAAAATTATCTATAACTTCCCTTTTGTAAAATAAAACAAACATTACCTTTACGCTGATTGTCTCAATATCCCAAACGCTTTGGATGGGAATTTTGTCAGAGCCACCAAAAATATTACATAGACACTTTAGAACTATAAATGATGTTCATTATTTCTACAATTATTCCTTTTAAAAAGGGTAGCAAGCTTTCATTCATGTTAACCTTTCATTAAAAAAGGCAAGAAAGGTCCTGAAAATGAATAAGTATAGAGTTTGGACAACATGAAGAATTAGCAGGACAGGTTCTTAGAATACACCCACGAACTACTTACAGCCTTCACAGAGATGTTTTGTTCCCTCTCCTTGTTCTTGGACTTTTTACTACGAACAACAGTTGAAGGTTGCTCAGCAAATGTGGAACTTGGTTTCCAATTGTACTGAAATGAATAAAAGTTGCAAATAATCAATACTTCAAATGTGATCTGTTATTGTCTGTTTGCCATAGAATACTAATTGCTTTGATCCTATCAATAACAATTATTCCTAGGAGTACCTGTTGCTTTTTTCAGACCAATGACTATTCCAATAAAACTCTTATAAATTCATTAGAATATCAAATCACTGATAAAGAGCAAATGAATTTGATCTTCCTCCTATAGGTGTGAAGCCATAAAATACACACATGTATATGAACCTCGAACAGCACTGCCCATTCTAAATTCCCAAATCGATACAGAATGAAAGTGTTCTAATTTTCACAAATGATATGAAAAGGTATGAAAAGAAAGTATAGTATTACATATGAACCTTGTACAACACAATGGCCCGACTTCACAAAGGAGGTTTGTCGACTAACCAAGGTTTATGTGCGTCATATGACGCGTTTTTACAAACCTTGGTTTGTAAAAAACAAAAGAAGGTTTGTCGAAACAAAAGGAGATTTGTTGACAAACCTGTGAATTCGGGCCAATTAGTCCTACAGCAACCTAGCAGACTAAATGTCCAAATTCCTTTTAAAGGATGTAATTTGAAGCTCACAGAAATTAGCTGCACAAACTTCACCTGCTATTTAAACTACTTTTGAATACTCACGTAATTATTTGGCTTGCTCTCCTCCTTCTCACCACCTATCAAGTTGAAAAGGAAGTCATCCATGGGCTGGGTAAAGTTGTACCTAGGCACAGCATTGCCCCTAGGCTCAGACATCACACTGCGGTGAAGCTGAGGAGCCTTGCTGGCTGCCATGCTGTTTAGGATGGCAAAAGAGGAGCAGTGCATGGGTAAGGGAAGGAATATCAGCAGAATGGGGTGGGGCAGGAAATGAAATAGAAAGGAAAAATGATACCAGGCAGTGGCAACAAAAATGATGTTTATTCAACATGACAGCTGAGAATGAAAGTACTTGTGCTAAGATTCATATAACCAAGTTTTGAACCAAACTTCTATTCGCAAATGAAGTTACAGCACCGATGGAAATTGAGATTTGAGAATTCGTTGGCATTTTTGTTGTTGCTGATTCTATAACTTTTATGGCTTGCGACTAATAAAAAAACCTAGCCATAATCCTACGGTAAGTTTTCTGATTTATACCACGGTTGTGTCGACTTTGTTTCCTACTACATGTACCTAACTTTAGCACCATGCTCTGGAAATATAGCGCAGATTCTGTATTTTTGCCAATAGAACGCAAATTTTAAAGATTAATTTTCGGAGGTCACATTGTTACTTTCTGTGTGTGTAAAAACTGTAATGGTTTGATTTGTGTTTCTAACATTTGAATAACATTTCTAACAATCAGTTGGTATCACATTTACTCATAATTTTGATGACATCTCTCAAAGTGGAGATTTCCAGACCCTTGTCGGCAAGTTCATATTTTTTAAGGATGTACATTAACAGACTGTGCAAACTTGCCTGATCTTTTGTCAATATTTTCTGAATTTCACAACCAATTCAAAAGAAACTTCTGTCTCTAAATGACAGATTAGGTAATGTTGTTCCTCTTTTAATTGGTGATAGATCTAGACCTATTACTTATTAGATTTTTGGAATAGGGTCTAGAGTAAAGGAGGGGGTTTTCGGCCACTTAAAGAGAAGGTTGAGTTCTGGGAAGAGGTGAAAAATAATTTGTGAGCGTTATCATTCTTATTATGCAAGTGTGGAAGAACATCAGATAAGACATGTTCCCTGAAAAGCATGGCTCTTCAAATGCCTTCCTATTCTAAATATGTCATGTAACATCGTCAAACTCCAGGGTAGGATTTTTACGCCACTTGTTAGTGTAGTCCCATATACATCTTTCTGTGTACAGTGTTTGTAACTTTACCAAAACTTGGCCAAATTTCTTATTATTTTGATGATTCCAGAACCTTGCAATACACACAATTCTTATATGCTAGATGATCAACCTTTTCTGGTCGATTCCACACCGTTTCTTTCACAATGCAATCGCATGACCAGAACTCAACTTCATCTTAAAGACAAAATCCCATTTTTTGGACTCTTTACTTCCTATTTATTATCATTTCTTGTTCAAATCATGAAGCAAATATCATTATTTAAACAAAAAAAGAATCCCAGAAAAAAAATCATGAATTGCCATGACAATATTCATTTCAATTTTCACTGTTTCGGAGACAGTTATCAGCCTAGCGAGACAGTTTTCGGTCGCATGTACAAAGTCAATAGGAGGCGCGCGCGCCGTGCGTTTCCCCACTGATCTATAGCACTAGCGGGTGGAGCAGGTATCCCACGCCAGAGCTCGCCACGCCGAAAACTATTTCTGCGGTGATCGGAAATTGGAATCTGAATTAGACAGAGATATCATGTGTGCGCTGCGGTGTCCGGCTGCATTGATTTAATACATGTGATGAGATACTTTTGAGCTTGCGACTCACACAAAATCGGGCTCTAAATCTGAAAAATACTTGAACTAAAGCTCATTTTATGGTACCCATATAACATATTCCTTACAGCCACGCGTAAGATACTAGATTTTTGTGGTTCTTCATTGACTCTGGCATGGTATGGTATGTGTGGGATTATGTGATATGCTATTAAACTTCTGTGCGATGTATTTTAAAGGGATTTTACCATGCATCCAATGGACCGGCCGAAAACTGTCGACGGTCGATTACCCCCTCCCTTACTCTACCAATTTGTCAAATTTTTGTGATATGGAAGGGTGAAAAACGTCTGTGAATTAGGGTCAAAGTAGGGTGTCTGATCGCGCACCCGATGTTGTGTGCTAAAATTCTTCCCATAGAGATTACACGCATCCCTATGCAGCCTACGTGCATTGCGCGACCATGCAAAAAAAGTCAATTTTTTTTTTTCAAATCGAGATTCAAACCTTTATCAGTTGTGATCCTGAAGGTGATAATCAATGAATGAGGTGTCATATGAAAGAGCAGGTGAATTCCAATATTTCCAAAGGGGCGTAGCCCCCGAAATTCTAAAAATATCTTGGTCAAAACAGCAATTTAAACATTGTGTCCTGGCTAACTCTGAGGTTTGTCACTTTTGAGATATGACGCCCCGATCGATAAGTAGTCCCAGTCCTAAGGAACAATTCTATGTGATTATATTTTCGCTAGCCCCCAGGGATCACAACTGATAACAGTTTAAAAATACCCTTCTCGCTATTTGGTGGATCAGCTAATTAGGAGGCGTGCGCTCCGCTCAGTCCAAACCATGGTTACATCGCGTAACATCTCCGCGCACGAACGAAACCCCAAATTATAGTGACTGAAATTATGGTTGGCAATTCCCTCGATAAACCCGGAAGTGAATACACGTTATAGTCAATGGCAATATCGCGGAGACAACGTGCGTTGTCTCCGCGATATTGCCATTGACTATAACGTGCATTCACTTCCGGGTTTATTGTGCGACGAACGCCAACCATACTAGTCAATCGCACATGTCGCGGAGACAGCGTAGCTCAAGCTGCAAGTCGCGGATTGGCTTAGCAGCATGCGTACGATATGCATACGCTTGCATATCGCGCGATACAGCTGTTTGGCTAAATTTAGCAAAACAACATCACTCTGCGTGGACGTCTTTTTCGTCGATTTTGACCAAAATGATATGAATATACCAGCGTGTTGGAGGGGCTGTAACTTTTGATAGAAACATCGGTGAGACTTGAAATTTGAAATGTATTATTCTGATAACATTTTTTATTCAAATATCAAACAAAAATGGTGAAAAACGATCCCAAATTGAAAATTGAAAAATCGTTCAGACACCCTAGTCAAAGGAGAACTAAGTCTATCACTGTAGCCATTTATTTAACAGAGCTATCCAAAATAGTGGCATATTGCCATTGCCGGTGCTTGTGTGCATCGAGACATGATGATGATGATGATTGTGCTGCACGCACAGTTCGTGTGTTGATGGCTGCAAAGAGCAATTAGCAATGCCATTGCAGTGCCAATCCAATGGGACACTTGCACTTTTTAGCTTGCGCACATGAAATAATCTTTATCAAACTCTAAAAAAAAATCATTAAAATACCGTTCAATATTTGGAACCTTTTCGCTTTAAAGTTTAAATCGACACATTTATAAACGAATTGCGAATTTGCCTTCAGTCCCGGACCGGTACCCGGCGCCTCGCCTTGCGCTCGACGCTGTGTCTCGCGCCGCGGCAAAGTGTATCCCGAGAGGAACTCCCCGATATGATGATGTGATCCACCTTGCATTTGCCAGGGAGCAGATTCTAAATTGTACTCTCAAACAATGCACGAATAATTTGGGTTTGACAATTATATGACAGGAATGCTAATAATAATCTACCTCAATTTATTCACGGTTGTTATGGTACAAGTTTAAAGCATTTTAACACATCAAGAAGCGATAAAAAACGTAAAACATAATGACATGTTTGACCTTTCATGTCTGCAAATTTTATCAAGATGGCGCTATGTCACCGCTTGCAAACACCATGACAACCAGTCACTTTAAATTACATGTTATGCAAAATTCTAGCCTTAACGAAATTCATAAATTTAAAAAAATGAAAGTAAAACATACCTTCTTGACAGCTGAAGGTGTTTCTCAGCTGGAAATGTCTCTGTTATGGTCTCAGGAGCTGCAAAGTATAGCTTTACGGGCACTCTCACTGAGTTACACACAGTTTAGATTAGGCAGCCATTTTGTGCTCGTCTAGGGAAAAAAATCGAAAACCTAAACATTGCGCCTGCAATTTAGTATCAGTTCGCCTATCAATTTCGTATGCAAATTTACAGTGAAAAATATACTAGCTTTTGAAAATAAATATCCCTCACAAGATTAACGATAAAGCTAACTTTATACATCATATATACATGAACATCATTTTTTTCATCTATCCCATACAAATTTTAAATCAAATTATCATAAATTTGGAGCTACATGATAAGTGACTTGTCACAGTTTATTCAAAGGAGTGATAAGGCATACTGGCGCGCGTCTAATTTTCTATTCTCATTGGCTAGCGCATGTAGCCGTAACTACTTTTCTTACACGGATGACTTCCGGATTCAATAGAAAACCAGTGGCAGTGTTTTTAGCAGACAACTCTGCATCTGAATGGTAATAATTGTGTAAGTAATATGTTTAGCGAACTACTAGAGTACTATTATACTACATCTAATGCTTTGTTATCTCATTATTTATTCAGGTTCCATTAAATTTAACGTAGCTTCGTCAGTGATTTTATTTTAAACCATTTGTCGTGCCAGCACCGCACTCCAGGCTCGCTCCCACAAGCTCAGGCCCAGCGCAGCGACACAAATTGGGATCGAGAGAGACCGCGACCGCAGTAGTCTCGGCATAGCTAGCCATATGAATCTCGGACGAGCTTAGATGGACTAGCCTCTCCGACTACTCAGTGCAGTGCTGGTCGGCTTCTGTCTCTTTCGTTCGTTGGCCTCTGATTTGGGTAGGGTCGGCTCCTCTCTTAAGAGACAGAAGCCGACCATAGGGTCTGCTCTGTAAACTCGGTGGCGCAGATCAGATTTGACTAAAGAGAGGAGCCGACCTTATCCAAATCAGAGGCTAACGAACGAAAGAGACAGAAATTTTCTGTCTAATCCGGAGCCTGCGCTTTCGCTTGGGTCCAGCCTGCGCCTGGCCATGCATGTCATGAATGATGTGTACGCAAATGAAGACTGAAAGCTTCAGTCTCTGATATCGAAGGTTGTTCCGCTGAGATTCAGAGCTACCAAGTGTCTAGACCGAAAGCTTCAGTCTCTATAATCGTCGGTTGTTCCACTGAGACTACGTCTGGCTCCACTAGACCTCCGGTTATAGAGACTGAACGACTGCCTATGCCAGCCTGTGTTGAACTTATTCCGCTAGATTTTAGCCGCTAGGCCCCTCCCACAAACTTGCCACGGCCGTATTGTTATGCCCCCAAAATCCCCCAAAATGTCATTTTACCTCGTTCATTTCCAATTTTAAATTAGGCCTAGAGTCTAGGCTATAATACATCGTTTCCACTTACTAACTTGATTGATATAATCCGTTTAATGGTCCCTTTTAAGGAAATTATCGGTCAAAATCGACATCCATGTTGAAAATCTTGCAAGCCGTGTTAAACTCTCGCTGCCGTCAATCTCATTCCTTCTAGTCTACGCCGAAGGCAAAATGATTATGAAGGAAAAACTGTGCGCCATCTACACGTTCGTAATGGCGTTATCACAGTTTTTCCTTCATAATCATTTTGCCTTCGGCGTAGACTAGAAGGAATGAGATTGACGGCAGCGAGAGTTTAACACGGCTTGCAAGATTTTCAACATGGATGTCGATTTTGACCGATAATTTCCTTAAAAAGGACCATTAAACGGATTATATCAATCAAGTTAGTAAGTGGAACCGATGTATTATAGCCTAGGCCTAATTTAAAATTGGAAATGAACGAGGTAAAATGACATTTTGGGGGATTTTGGGGCATAACAATACGGCCGTGGCAAGTTTGTGGGAGGGGCCTAGCGGCTAAAATCTAGCGGAATAAGTTCAACACAGGCTGGCATAGGCAGTCGTTCAGTCTCTATAACCGGAGGTCTAGTGGAGTCAGACGTAGTCTCAGTGGAACAACCGACGATTATAGAGACTGAAGCTTTCGGTCTACCAAGTGTCATGCATTCAGTCTCTGATATCGACGGTTGTTCCGCTGAGATTCAGAGCTACCAAGTGTCACACATTTCGAGGGTCTGAAAACGCTCTCACGCACAAATCGCGTGATTTAAAAAAAAAACCTTTACGCTATACCCTCGCCTGCACGCTCGCGCGCCGCATCATGAAAATGTCACGTATAGCTGTCTTGAACGTGGCGTCTCTGAAGATCACATCTGCCTCTATGTGTATGGGGAATGGTGACAAATGTCAGTTTTATTAAAGAATGACCCCATAGACTATGGCGTAGATCTATGGGTCATTGTTTAGTTTAATTAAACTGACATTTTCTGGTCCTAGAAATAAAATAAAAAACAGAATATTCTGAATTATTCGTAAAGGTTGGCAGGTATGGCATTGTGTGCACATAGCTTACGCAGCGGCCTAGTCTTTGTGTGTGTTGACCTCAAATCAAACTTTGATTGACAGGTGTATAAATTTCATTTTGAGACAGAGAATGTATTTTACTTGAATATGAAGTAAAAGACTTGCAGAAATTTGAGTAGAGGTCTACTGCAATTTTTGTGAAAATTAGAAAATGCAATATTGTTTTTAATATAAGGAAAATAATTACAGCTTTAAAAAATCCAAACAACTAGGATCATTCTCATTTTTTTTTCTTTGTAACATTGGATAACAAATTTCACAAATTCCAACATAGGTCTAGACAGATAGAATAACATAGATAATTTAGAATATTTAGTGCAAGGGTAAATATGACAATGACCCGGAATATAATACCATGATAAAAATTCATCAAATTACTTGTAATACTTGTAATTTTTTTTTTTTTTTTTTTTTTTTTTGGGGGGGTCAAATTTCCCCTCGGGTCGCGCCACGCATTGCGTTTTTAATTTCCTGGCGAGAGGCCTGAACACTGCCTGTCCTTGTTACTTGTAAAAATGACAAGCACTGTTGCATTGCATCTCGCGCAGTCTAAACTCAAATCTTGTATAAATAATAGGGGGCATAGACTATGTCTGCGTACCTAATCAGTGCTAATTATATATTTCATTTGAAATTGACAATTTGCTGTCGTATTTTTCTAATGCTTGAATCTCGTCTCGTCAAAATTGTAGTGAAAACACTGAACAAAGACAACACTGGACTGTAAAGTGTCAAAACTACAAGGAATGGCTGTGTTGTCATTTTGACATTGCAAAAACAAAGCCTGGGGATGAGTGTGTGTAATTGGGTTCTTACAGACGTGTACCAATCAGATATGATTATTTACATCTAGGGACCGAAGGTTTAACGTCACTATCTGAAAGATGTGACTCAATTTCAAACTGGGGTCACCTAAGCTAGTAGGCGAAGAAAGAGAGCTGACCAAGTGAACTTGCCGCTAGACCAACTCGCATCTCCCCTATGAGGGCTGCGCGCTCATTTATTTAATATGCGGTTCCAGATTTTTTACTTGAAAGATGGCATTTAGAGGCTTGTTAAAAAAAATTACATAAATTTGAATTTTCTCATCAGTTTCTAACTGTTTTCTTGCACAAATAAATACAGTAATAGTAACAAAATAGATATGAAGGTTTTGTTTTGTTACAAATAGATCTAAGGCACTCTAATATAATCTTATCTAATCTGTTTTTATTTCACAATGAAATTTTACCCCCCAGTCTATTGAAAAATTCGGAAAACGGGAAACTAGCAGTAGGCTTTACAAAGTATTAGTAGGCAAGAAGCGTCAGCCACCCATTATGCCTTTAACTTTATGTATATATGAAAGAATGATGGACAAAGAATCTTCTGTGATGAATTTAGGATTGGGATGAAGTCAAACCTTAAAATTGTACCTAATTCTTATCTCATCATTTCTTATTTCATGTCTTTTCTTCCAATATCTCCAGCCAGAGAAACATAGGAGACTGGACTCTGACAGATTAAGCATCGTGAGCATTGTTATAAAGGGGTAGAGATGTCAGGAAATTACTATTTTGTTATAGTTGGTCACCATGACAACCCAGTGTTTGAGCTTGAGCATAGTAGCCAATCAAGAGCTGCTGAAGCAAAGGTATATGCTACATAGTGCTTTTTTAAAATTTTGATTGCAAAAGAAAAGGTTTGCTTTTCGACCCCAAGCTTATATATTTAAAACTAATTGTATTCCCAGACCCCCTCAATTTCAATCATAGTGACAAAGATTTGTTTTCAAATCTAAATTATTAAGCAAGTAGCTATGATGAACACAATACAAATTGATGCCAACATTAAATGTTGCCACTGATTGTTAGTTGAATGACCCAAGCATGATCCCTATGATTTCATCAGAGAGATGAATACATCATCTAACCATCCCCCCCCCCCCATTTTTTTTTTTTTTTTATATACCGGTATATTTTTTTTTAAAGAAGTCATTCATTTTGTACTCTTCTTTTACTTTCTTTTTTTATAACTTATTTTAGTCTGAAAATTCAGTTTCTATCAATACCAAAATTACCATTAAAAAGCTCAATGTTACCTTGAGTTCTTAACCTTGCATTTTTTTTCTCCATTTTCATAACAGAAAGATGATCATAGACACCTGAATCAATTCATAGCTCATGCAGCATTGGATATGGTAGATGAACACATGTGGACGACACCAAATATGTACGTAATGTTCCCATCTCACTTGTTGAGTATCTTGTTTTTAATAGCACTTTACCATCACATTTATGATTACACTTTGTTAATCTTCCATATAACTGGTGGTTTTAAGTTAGACTTTAAAGAATGGATGATCATGAATATATGTCAGAACTCAGTTTACTCCTGAAAATTGCAGAAAAAACACCATATCCTCAGAAATTATGTAGAAGAAAAAGTTCTATTGAACAGAGAATAATTATCCTTAAGTTTTTTTTTTAAAGCAAGCATACGATATTGTTTTATTATGCAGTTTTAACAGGTGCTACATTATCCTTATATTTCTAGATATGATTGTTCATGTAAGCATTTAAGGTCAACAATGACGTATTTGTGTCCATTATTTGCCCATCTCACAATCAGATACATACCGGTATGTAAGAAAATGTTCCACTGTGTTGGTAACAATATTTTGGTATTGTATCTGTGGAAACATGTACATATCAACCTTATTAATTGATTTATACTGTTAAATGCACTGAGATAAGTGTGCAATATTTTAATTATAACAATTTTATAAATGTAAAATTGACTCTTCTTTTTGTCCTTCATTGATGCAGGTATCTCAAGACAGTTGACAAGTTCAACGAGTGGTTTGTTTCAGCATTCGTCACAGCGGGAAATATCCTTTCTAAAGAAACCAAAAAAAAATATTCTTTCATTTCTTTGTTCCCAACACCCTTCTGATTTGGTTAATTTGCAAAGGTTTAATAATGTAGTAATGAGGCAGTAGATCTACATTTTGTATGATGTCACAAAATGATGACAATGTAGAGAGTGAGGCAACAGATGCTAGATATGTGGCCTTTATTGTGTGTTCATGGGGTAGGAAACAGTAACATGCAAGCTAGGAGTAAATGGGTAGCAGCAAAGGTGTATGCCATTTTATGGTAGTAAAAGGCATCTCATCTCTAATTCTAAGTACTAACTTACAAAAGAGAATTCCCTTTTAATTGTCTCTTATTTCATTTCATAAATGTTCATTCATATGAAAAGCAAGACCTAACATGAACAAGCACCATACGCAGGCGCATTCTACTCCTTGTTTCTGTACAAGGTTAAACAATTAATACAAAGTTTACTCAGTTGCCTGGTACGTATGATAGAAGACATTTTATCAATCAAGCATGTAGTTTGTGATCATTGGTGACTGAGTAATTATTACTAGAAATCAAAAGGCAAAATGATGTAGTAAGCATTACGATTCCTTGACCTAATTTGTTATTTACGGATGAGATTTCTTGTTCTACATGATATCAAGAATGAAGACGGGATCAAGAACTTTTTCTCAGAAGTATATGAAATATTCATCAAGGTGAGTTCTAAATACCGGTATCTCCAAAGTTTATCAACCTCCCATTTATGCTCTTTCCAATTGATCCCTATCTATTTTTAAAGGAGCATGTACTTGTTATTTTCTTGTTCTCATAGAAACTCTGTCATCTGTAATCTACTAATTCAGTTAAAATGCGATCCTGGATCTAAGATCATCTGAAACCTGAATTTGAACTGAAGCATAAGCCCAGCGTCGGGTATAAATTGTTATACGGCCCAAGTTTTTATATGATTATATAAAGTGCAATTATTAGATATATAGTAACACATGTACCTGTTATTCCAGACAAACATTGCTTTTCGAATGTTGACAGCTAGATGCAGCTCTTGATAGTTTGAAGTTTTTGTTCCTATTCACTTTACATCAATTTTATTTTGCTTTGTTTTGTTTGATTGTTTACTTTGACGATAATCCTATGCCAGGATTCTGATTTCAATAAAATAATATCAATTTGAATTTGTTTATGAAAATATCTGTGCAGCGACTGTTTTTTTCCCTTCTTGATCCTTATTGATATACATACTTCCCTAGTAATAAATTCATATAATCATATTAATCATATTTATATGATTGTATTCTTTTTGTCTCTCCTCCCAGTATTCCATGAATCCATTCTATGAGCCAAGCAGTCCAATCAAGTCACCAGCCCTTGAAAAGAGGATACAACAACTTGCCAAGAGATTCCTTACTAGCTGAGTTATCATCATTGTTATCATGATTATGTCATAGTACTCTATCAGTGTTGCATAAAGAGCAGTTATATATATCCCATTCAAGGAAAGGCTTCTGCAATGTTGACATTGTTAACGGTTTTCCCCCTTTCTTTCGGAATGTCATGACATCATATACTGCACATGTATGTTGCAAAAGGAATTTGAAGGAATAGTGTATGCTCTGATTTATACCTCATGTTGCATACTGAGCTTTAATAAGAAGGTGTTGATTTAATACCAGAAGTATATGTTTCATGGGAATCAAACTGCCTCCAATTGGTATGCATTTTTACATCCAGAATGCCTGTAGTAATTGTGTTAAGAGGAGACTTGAAAATGCTCAAGTGGTGAAGAAGTAGTATTGTTTACTGGAATATCCCTGGTTACAAAATCTGTTGATATGCTCTTTGGTAAGGTATTAAACCTCTGTAACCAAGACCCTGAGGCAGGCATTAAGAGCCATTAGGTCCACTGTATCTTCCCATAGACAAGAAACCAGTGGAACCATGGCTACCAATGATATTATCTTATTATACCGGTACTGAAAAAGTTAACAAGAATATAAACAAGCAGGACCACTGATAATGAGACTTTTTGTGTTCATAAATATGATCCAAAGTAACATTATTAAATAAGTATATACATGTATTTAACCTTGTTTGCCTAAAATGATTAAATACATAATGTACATTATGACTTATGAGACTGACAGGAGTCGTATTGATGCATGTCCATTGGTATGGACAGCATGAATGCAGTTATGTGTTATTTTATATTTTAAAATGGCTTACCGGTATTACAAAAATAAAACATTTAGAAAGATATTTGAATGAATGCTTGCATTTATATTATTTGATACATTCCCTAAATGGAACACTTATTAATACATGTTTAGAGAATTATGTACTCTGTTGCAGTTATAGAATGAATGTATGGGATCATACTCGAAGCATTGGGCTAGAAATTGTAATTTGATAATTTTCGTTAATTGATATGTATTCCCTAATACATGTACAACTAGCATGGTTTATAAATACACTGTAAACGCATGTAATGCAAGGAATATGATTTGCATGGATAGTGTACTACATACCTGCCAACCCTCCCGCATTTTCCGGGATATTCCGCATTTCTGGAATTTTAGGACCTTAAATGCGGGAGATTCCGCATTTTGGAAATTTAAGCCAAATTGGGCTTGTATTACCATTTGCCGCGATTTGTGTGAGAGCTCTCGTATAGTATACTGTGTGTGTGTTGATGGCCGCGGAAGCTCATTTGGCTTGTAATGACGGTTTTGCAGCGTGTTTGTGCCACTGATCTATAGCGTAGAGATCAGCATTATGTGTGTGTGTGTAAGCCTGGCATGTACTCTCCATACACGTACACACACACACACACCCATACAAGCAATGTACAAGAACATGCACGCTTCACGTGCGATAAATTTTGAGCGAACGGGTTAGCTTCGACGTGTGATCGTGAATGGTTACTAAACTTGCAAAAGTTTGTCAGTTTTACTTATAATGTCTTCCAATCCCAAGGAATACGCTTGCTTGATGGATTCATGGAGTTTACCGTACCGTACTAACTTTTCAATTGTCTAATCCAGTATTTGGAAGAAGTGTGTCGGGACTATGGTATACAGAGTGAACGCACGCTGCAGTGCGGTACCGGAGGTGAGTCGGTGCCAGTGGAGTGGGGCAGCGATGGCGAGGCGTACCGTACATGTACTGTGTATAGTTTGATCGATGCATGTCAAATGTTGCCGTAACTGAGCTGTGTTGGACAATCGCTACACCGAATTGAATTCAGCGTACCTGCCAACCCTTCCGAATAATCCGGATATTCCATTTTCTGGATTTTTAGGACCCCAAAATCCGGAATATTCTGTTTTTTTTTCAAAATTTCGATTTTTTTTTTTTTTTTTTTTTTTTTTTTTGTTGTTGCTTAAGCCAAATTAAGCTTGTTTTATCCTTTACGCGATGTTAGAGTTCACGTGTATTGCGTGCGTTGAAGGGCTGCATGATTAAATTCGCTTTTTTTTGCACAGATTTACCGCGTATTGCCAGTTACACTGCCGCTGCATGTGCGAACGCCTGTTAAGTGTACAGATTTCTTATTTTCGAAGACATACCGCGCTAAAAATTCTTAATTCTCATTTTCAAATGTTGGCAGGTATGGTACTACTGAATATATGCACTAAAAGACATAAACTGTATGTTTATTCTTCAGGGTATTCTCAGGACCAAAGGAATATTTCTAAAGTATCTCCTTCCTTATTTTGTTTATCGATACATGTATGTATGGCTACCCTTAGCCCCTCGTGTACTTTACTAACTTGCTGAGACCACACAAACTCTGATGTAAATTGATTGCAGTCATTTTGTTACACTAAGTGCATTGCTGATTTTTACCCTGGAATTTACATTGTACTCTGACAAATTCAAGCAAGGAGCTAATTTTGGATCAATGTCGAATGAATGTCCGTGTGACTTCCCTCGTGTTTGTCACAACATAAGGAAATTTAAGAAAAATAATGGAGGAAATATGTGTAAAATTATATGAGTTAACACCCTTCTGGCTCCAAACAGAGAAATATTGTACACATATGCATGTATTATAAACTATGGACCCATCACAAGACTCCAAACATGTAACAGGTCTGAATAGATACAATATCGAGGTTCAGTGACACAAAGACGTAACTCCATATTTTGTCAAAATGAGCATTTGATATCAAAATGTTCAGAAAAATGTGGGCTTTCCAGAAAACACAAAGACTTGACTCCATCCAACACCCCATTGAAGTCAATGGCTAGTGAAACATAGACTTAACTCTGTAAGGCCCAAGTGCTCAGTGACACATAAACAATTTTTTCTCAAAAAGGCGAAAATGGAGTTACGTCTTTGTGTCACTGACCCCTCGATATATTGTTGGGATAATGAAGTGCAATATTTGATCGACTGATATCATTTTGAAAACGAAGTCCTAATTAGATACATTGTATTGTATATTGTAAATAAAAGATATTAACAAGTATGAACTCCTAGATATCAACATTTTATTTCATGCCTTCATGTAAAGAAAAAGAATATATTGTACTTGATAATGTGGGGAGTATGCAAAAGAGAGGATTACAAAAGATGGAACTACTGATGAAGAATATTTTTTTCTAATCTAAAGAAGGAAGAGTAATGTATATGAGACTGAGAGGTAGAGGTGTGTGTGTGAGAGAGAGAGAGAGAGAGAGAGAGAGAGAGAGAGAGGGCGGGGGCAATAATGATGTGTATTCAATGGAAAAACGATATGAAATGATTTATGTAGACATTGTTCAAGCATGGGGGAACTTTCAGAAAGTTCGGGATTTGGAAGGGGATTAACTGAGAGAAGGGTTTGTAATTGTAATTAAAAAATGGAATAACGAAGAATTAGAAGTGAGACAAAAATTAAGTATTAAAAGCAGATTCATGGGAAGAGATTGTTTTAAAAAATGCGGGCACGAGGATAGATGTGTACTCTTAAAACAGAGTGAATAGGGGCTAATGGAAACCAAATAAAACGAAAATGGAGTGTTTTGATATTATGGACTTACTAAACAGAACAGCGACAATGTTAATGGTGATTTAATATGTTGATCATGGTTAGGATAATAATGCTACATGGATATGTAACGGCTGCCGATATGTAATGACATGAAAAACAGAGTGATTAATGAGGAAGATATTATTGGTCATAACAGAGATTTATGAAGTTGATATTGTATAGATGTAATGACTGCTATGAGGGCAATACTGTTGTTTTATAGGCTCGAGGGGATGTTGCATCATAATATTGATGACGACGATGATAATTCAATGATGGTAATGATGACGATGAAGATGATGATGATGATGATGATGACTATATGATAAAGATGATTATAATGTCATGATATCAGGGGCGGATCCACGTAGCGATTTTTCCTGAAAAATTGGACCCAAAAAAAAGGGGGGGGGGGGCTGACGGGTCAACAAAAAAAAAAAACAACAACAACAAAAATCTCACGAATTAGGTCCAAAAAAAAAATGGTCTCACCCCCCCCCCCCCCCCCCCCCCCCCCATCTACAAATTAATACACCCTACCCGCACCTCCAGTTAAAACTCAGACGATTATTTTGGAGGACCAACCAACCAAGAACCAATATAACGCATTGATAGAGTCTTTATACCAACCCTCCAGTGAGTGACTGAAGGGGCCAATGCACGACCATTCACAATAATCACGAAATTTTATTGCCAAGGGAGGAAAATTACGGGAGATATCTCGGGAACGGGGAGGATGCAAAATGAAAGTTTATCGCGACATTTGGAACACATGGAGAGAATATACCCAAACAAGATAACGATAGAGCAGATGTGAAATGATGATTAAGATATATTTTTTAAGTCTTTGAAAATTGTAATGAGATTGAAAACGTCACAATGAAAAGTCTTATTTTGCGCAAAAATCATTTGCGCGCTAGATGCAAAAGCACGCGTTGCGCATAACGACACTGCGTTATCAGTTTGTTTGTTTTCTTTTTAATATCATCGTATTGCTGAAAAGGGTGAAAATTACAATATATCTCGCTTCTTTTCTGCCCTTTTTACGGAGAAGTGTGAGGTCATAACTTAGTGTTTGTAAGAAAGCTGTAGCTTGACAGAAAGAGAAAAAACGATGTCGAAAGACGAGGGGCAGACGATCAAGCAAATGAGAGGACAAATTTCAGCATTGGCTCGTGAAAATAAAATGCTGACTCACAAGATGAGTCTACTGGAGCAGAATGCGACGCTGAAGCAAAATGCGATGTTCTCAGGCTTTCTCAAGTGGATGGAGGAGACTGGAGGGAAGTCAAAAGAGGACGGTCCTTCTCACGGCCATGAAAGAGATTCCGAATCTCCAACAGCCCTGATGACGTCTGTGAAACAAGAACCGATTTCAACGGAATCACAACGCAGATCAAAGGTTCAGGATGATGTTCCCATGGTTTCTAGAGGTTCAACAATGAATAGATCTCACGAAATTAGAAATTCTTCTTTCAACACAAAACCAGAAAATGCTCGTATTGACAGATCTTCTAAAAAGCAAGCTGCTTCAGATGCTGGATTGGGTCAAAGGTTTAATGAGACAAGGCTTAGGCCTAGATCTAGTGGAAGCCCTAAATACATGGATGATCATTCTCGAGTGAAAAGCTCTTACCGCAAGCCTAAACATTTTGGAGGAATCACGTCATCACCAGACAAAGGCCCGTTCGACCCACACCAAGAGAGAATATTACAAGTGTCTAACCCATGGTGTGCTCCTGCTTCCTATCGGCATGTTGACTTTGTACCTCGTCCCGGGGAATCAGCCATGACGGAGAGCTCAGATATAAGAAACGACTGGCTGAGAAGACAGGATGAAAAGCTTGACCACGCCCAGATGAGGTCCACACCCGTGACATCAATGCCGAAAAGGCCAAATACTAGCATCAAGTTTAAAAGGAACGTGAATAAAAACGATTGTCTTGAGGCTAAAGTCGAGTCATTACTGGAGGAGACAAGACTAGCTGCCAGCCCAGATATGCAAGGTTTTGCAGCTAGCAACGCCATTAGCAGTGTTCATTCACGACCTGTGACTTCCACTCCAGCAAAGACTCCACAGAAGAGAGTTATATTTGAAGATGAGATGAATGAGAACGCACCAAGGAGTCGTGGTGATCCGGTGTCATCAGTACCTCGCCCCTACGACTGTGACCCACTTAATCTCTTCACCCGTGGGAAGACGCCAGGCTCCTCAGTGAGACAATTAGCGTAC